TTAATTCTAGTTGATTTCTTTTCATATCCTCATAGGTCTTATCCATCTTTTCTAGGAAATTCTTGAAAAACCTTATAAGCGTAGATTTGAACTCTATATCCAGCCGCTTTTTGTCCTCCATTTCTTTCGTTTGTGATCTATTTCGTTGTCGCATTTCGCAGCTACAGATGGGGCGGGTTTTCAGGGTGGAGCCTACAGCCTTGGCTTCCGTCAGCCCCGCCCTATGCGGGTCCTTCAGTGCTCGCTGCCGGCACCTCTGAGAGAAAGGCGCCCTCGATCGCCTGCTGCCAGACAGTCAATGCTCTCCCCAATGAGCCCGGTATTGGGGTTCAGTTCAGTTGGAAGTGGAGTTGGAGGTGGCGTTCAGAGCAGCCTAGAGCCCCTGTCTCTTTCTCACCAGGCAATCCCGCGGCACAGCTGGCCGTCCCTTCTCTGCGCACAATGTGTGCACCGCCGGGACCTCCTTTCTCAGCTTCCCCGGGTTCCGCCTCGCAGCCCAGCTCCCTCTGGCTGAGCCTGAGTCCCCGGGGTCTGGCCTAGGGTTGGGTTCAGAGTAGTCGGGGGCCCAGCACAGTCAGAGTTTTATCTCCTTCCCGCTTGGGAAGGCCCGCCAGGCACTCCGCCTCCCTCCTCTCCAGCTCCGTCCTCTCCGCGCGCCGCGTGTCTCCGTACCTTCGGCTTTTCCAGCTCCTCCGCGCTTCCTTCTGGTTTTCTCTTGCTTCTCGTTGTAGAATTTCCAGTCAGTCAACTTTCCTGTAGTTCTGGGTAATGTCCGTTTTATATTTTAGTTGTATTTTATTGAAATTGTTGTGTGAGGCTGCAGCTAGGTATTCACCTGGGCGCAGCCATCTTGGAGGATCTCTGTGATGTTTTGTTTTAAATGCAGTTATGTGGTCGTTGACAGGCCACATACATGAAGGTGGAGATGAAAAATTCCTAGTGCCTAGTGATATGGTAGCTGTCATAACATCATAGCACAAAGGTTGCATAAGTCAGCAAGGCAGAGGGTGCTTTAACCTGGGTGTGGATGAGGATGACTGAGAAGCTCCTTAAAGGTGATTCCTGAGGAAATGTCTAATGAGGAGTTGTGGGAAATGGAACAGCAAGGCGTAGCTGAAGAGGCAAGAAAAAAGAAAACTAGAAGAAAGAGGCCATCTCCCCACCCCCACAGGAAAATTCAGTGAAGGGTGTGAGCAGAAGCTTTTGCAGACCTCAGAAAGCTCATTAAAAAGTGTGAAAATGTCTCTCCCTTCCTCTCTGAAATCACCTAAAATATATTTTAAAAGGTATGAAAATATGGACACAACACTGAAAAGTTTTCATTAATAAAGAGGAATGTTTATGAAGGTAAGGTTAATTTATTATTGAAAAAACTATATTTTAAAAATATTTTTTATTGATTTCAGAGAAGAAGGGAGGAGAGATAGAAACATCAATGATGAGACTCATTGATGGGCTGCCTCCTACAAGCCCCACACTGAGAATCAAGCCCACACCCTGGGCATGTGCCCTTGACTGGAATCGAACTGTGACCTCCTAGTTCATACCGTAGGCTGATGCTCTACTACTGAGCCACACCAGCTGGGCTACCTAACACAATTAGGAGAGTATAAGAAATTCTAGTTGTTAGTTTCTCCATAAAATTTTCTTTTAGGTCAGAGAGAGTAACTGCCTCACACACAGCACTGGGCGGTTCTGGTGGGTGATGCTCCTGCTGTGACTGCAAGACAAGGGAAGCAAGCACGTGTGCTGGGACTCTTCTGACCCTTTGGTAGAAGAAAAACAACTGCTTTCTTAGTAACTAGCTGCTAGTATATAAGAGGAAGATGAGCACAAACCCTGATCTATAGTTCAGCACCTTGCTAGGCTACAATTTGTAAGCAAAGGCAAGAGTATGTGGGTGGTGAGGTGGGATGAAGCAAGCATCGAGTGAACTTACATTCGTAAGTATGCACTATATGCTCTTCACACTCGCTATCTCATTTAATTCTGATAACCTAACTTATGTTTTATAAAAATTGAAAAATTGGGTTCAGAAAGCTTCAGATGTTCAAAACTGCACAATTCAAAGCCCAATCTGTCTGACACTAAAGCATCCCAAAAATCATCTGTGTGGCCAATGACAGGATACACAGGAAAGAGGAGACTGTCCCTAGTAGACCCAACCACAAAATTGGTAACATTTAACTTTCTCAGTAAGAAATACTCGTTTTGGATATAAGTCTTAATTGAAGACAATTACTGAAATCTATAACGAGAGGATATTTCAATCTTGATATATCCAATATCATGACACATATTGGATAAGTCTTGAATAAACAAGAAAATTTACTATGTGTCCAGAGGTTTTATAAGTTAAGTGAAAAATCAGGGTGCATTTTTCTAAGGAATTAAACTATTCCCATTTATGAAACACTAATAATAAAATGTCCACAGAGTTTATATTTTAATTTCAGTGTTACAAATGCCATTTTTAAAACAGAGCTAGTTTTCTGTATGTCAAAGTGTTATGGTTCAAATGATGAAGTGTGCTTGCAGCTAAAATAAAGTCACCAGAGTAAGAAAAACGTTTCAAATATCAGTTTATCACTTGCATATTAACAACAATAAAAATAAGGATTTGCTGACAAAAGAATTTTAAAGTATTTGGACAACTATCACTGAAATTTTCATTTTGACATAAGATGCAGCAAAATATGTAAAACACCAAAACAAAGCACAAAAAGTTAAAATATTAAAAATTTTCTTCCTTACTTGTTCATTACTAATCACATTTTCCTGTAACTAACTACAGTACCTTATAAGCTCCTGCATTAACAATTCAGGTTTATGCCACAAATACTTGCATTAAATAAATTTAAAAATAATAAAGCTTTATCTAATAAAAATTCAGTAGCAATTATTGAACAGGTCAACAGGTAGTTGTGCATCTAAATCTGATGTAATCTTAAAAAATAGAGAAATATATCAGTACTTTTTGTGTTTGGGAACACCAAGAGGAGTCCTTTACGCAGAATTCTCCCCATCTTATCCCTTGGCACAGACCCTGGATTTTCCAGTGGCAAAGTCCTACATCCACCACAGGCTCCTTGAAGACAGGCTACTTGCTCTTTCCCCAATAAGATGGCAGACATGAACCACTCTTCCATTCTCTGGCCTCCCCGCCCCTGCCCTCCACCCTTCCACATCTTGCAGCTTAATCAAGTATTTTTTAAAATGTTATTTTATATCCAAATTTCTTTACCACAGTCCATCTTCCATCTCTACACATACTATGTTGAAGCATGTTTGATATTGACAATTACTACAGTGTAACATTTAATAATACAAAAAAGACAAACAGCCATAACTAAATGAATACAAACACCAAATGCAAATGTGCACTTGTCAATTATGCAAATGTCAACCTCAGAGAGATCACTATTTTTGAATTCCAAGATGTTTAATGTAAACTGTTTTACAAAAACTAATTATAAAACACAAAGACAATAGAAATATAAGTTATTTATTAATCAATCCACTTACAAAGCAGGTGGCTTAATGCAAGCTTATTGACATCTTCACATATGATCCATGGGAACATGTCTTCCACATACAGACAGTGATGTTACTGACTGATGCATTTGCAATCTGGGACATATTAAGCATATTTAAACAAATAAAATCAGGCTATTCTGTATATGAAAGCATCTTGATAATATGCATTTGAAGTGGATTAAAACTTCCTCCAAAGGAGAAATGTTAGTATGTTAACTTAACTTTATATTCTATATTATGCAGTAAATCTTAACTATTGAAATTAAAAATTTTAAATCAGTGATCGACTCTTGGTTAATGTACGAAGTGGGAGTCTAAAATCAGAGCAACAGTAGGTTGACAGTATAATTTGTGCCTCACAGTATCTGCAGATTTACTGTTTTCAAGTTTAAAGAGAAATAAAACAAGAGACATGTAGATTCAGCTAACTTTATTTATCTTTAAACTAATAAAAATCCCTTAAAAGTGATCCTGGGACCTTTAGTATGAATGCATAGATACCTGCTAATGACTGCAATTCTAAATCTTGACTGAATGTGTGTAAAAAATCAGTGTAAACAGCTATCTTTACTATACGTGCTTAGCAGAAGACTAAACGAATTCTACATGTCTTCTTCAATTTCCCCAAAATTTTGTTAAATCTGCAAGTATGTACAATCCAGCTAATTGAAATTAATATTTAGTGTTTATCAGAGCTGTTTCACAGCAGCAAAAACTGAACCAGGGAAATAAATTTTAAACAAAGTAGGAAAAAGATAAATATAATCAGAACAGCAGTCTAAATGTATAATATCAATATCAACTCTCTGCATTGTGTTGAAAGGAAAAGGATACACCAAGACAATTTCTATTGATCACTGGTGATGTGAATACCACCTGCATCTGACTGAATATGGTTTGTATTCTGTTCCCAGTATTAAGGATGGTATTTAACTCAGAACTCCATATTGTAAATATACAGCAGCCATTTTTGTCCTAATTAAGGAATGTCTTAATACACAATATTATCATTTTCTAGAGGATCTTTATACATCAAACTAAAGTACATGATTGATTAAATTAAAGGTTAGTAATGGATAAAAAAAATTCATCTTAAGACCTGATACTATGTAAAAAATAAAAAGACCACAAAATTCTACTTACTAAAGCAGCTAATCTTGCCTGCAAGTTTAGGGTCACAAGCCCATAATATGTGCAAAGAAATGCAATACAAGGAACCATGCAAAAATACAGTAAAATGATACAGGAAAAATGTCAAATCTAGAAAAAAAGCTTTTATAAATACATCAAAATCAACTGTATACATAAACTGTAGGTCTAGCATTAGTTGTACCATATAGCAGAGCCAGCACTCTAAGTTCAAGGCTTCCAAATCTGCGCAGGTAAGTCATGCCATCTTTGGTTGAACTGCAGTACCGGGAGGATGGGAATGAGAGGGAGGGCAAGAGTTCTGAAACATGGTGTCAACTTTCACTTGGCAGCTGGGCCTCAATGTCCACTCTGCATATGGGGCACTTCTTATTGGTAATCAACCACTGGTCAACACACACTTGGTGAAAAAGGTGCATACAGGGAAGGCGTCTATTATAGGCAAACAAAACAAAAAGAAAAATTAATATGACAACTGCATGTGGCATTTACTTTTAAACAAATGATATGTGTAACTGTAATGTTTTTAAGTTATTAGACTTCTTCCTATTTTACTCAAAACAATAAAACATCTCTCTAATAAAAGTTACAACCATATTAAATTAACTCTCTGAATAATACAATGTATAAATAAACAAGATAATTGTCAGAGCAATTAAACCAAATCATGTAATATCACAAGAAATTTAAGAACCATTATACTGGTAATTAACGCTATTTTTGTTTCTATATGTGAGCTGCCAATACATTGGAGTTGGCAGTACCTTCTCTGTTAGGTAATCCTTACATTATTAAAGTGCTTCAAATATATATAATTTAATTCTCTCTCAAAAACATCAGAATTCATATAAATATTTAGCAGCCATGTCATACTAATTAAGGAATTTAATATCAATATTGTTTTCTATCTAGACTCTAGTAGCAAATCTGGTGTTGAATCATTCTAGAGGATCTTTATACATTAAACTTAAGTACATGATTGATTAAAGGTTAATATTATATTGTTTACAACATAACTGTTGCATTCATTGTTACGTTTACTTAATACTATACTACTTTTTTAAAAGTAGGTTAATAGGAGCCGAAACCGGTTTGGCTCAATGGATAGAGCGTCGGCTTGGGGACTGAGAGGTCCCGGGTTCGATTCCGGTCAATGGCATGTACCTTGGTTGCGGGCATATCCCTGGTAGGGGGTGTGCGAAAGGCAGTTGGTCAATGACTCTCTCTCATCGATGTTTCTACTCTCTATCTCTCTCCCTTCCTCTCTGTACAAAAATCAATAAAAATATATTAAAAAAAAAAAAAGTAGGTTAAAAGGAGATGTTTACTTATGTACACTAAACTAAGTTATCAATTAGAAATTGAAAAATAAAAAAACCTTCTAGGAAATCCAGGGTAACATTAGTTACTGATTTAAATACCCATTTCGACTTCCATCTATTGTTAAGAGTTGTCATACATTTTCAGACTTCCTAATAGTTTGCAAAAATAGTAGCTAAATAAAAGTGTTGCAATTATTCATTATTGACAGTATTGTCAACAATGTAAAAACAATTATCTTCCATATTTATAAATCTTCATTAGAAAAACAATGTTCAAAAAACTTTATATGAAAGAAAACTTTATATTTTTCTCTCTCAGCCAATTGAAGAAATATGACAAAGTTATCCTTATAAATTAGGGCAACAAAATTTCCATATGGTTCTGTTACATATATATAGAACCTGTTTCACATGGGATCATGTTACATTAGGAAGAAAAAAAAAACTAGAAACAAAACAAATATCTAAGAGATTATAAGAAAATGACTAAAATTAGTATTGAGTTAATATAATATTTTCTAAATCACAGAGTTGCAAAAAGAGAGTAGTCCTGAAAGTTGAGAGGAAATTTTAAGATAAAATTCATTTATAAAAGATGCTATAGCCCAACCGGTGTTGAGCGTCCACCTATGAACCAGGAGGTCACAGTTCAATTCCTGGTCAGGGCACATGCCCAGCTTGTGGGCTCCATCCCCAGTGTGGAGCGTGCAACAGGCAGACAATCAATGATTCTCTCACATCATTGATGTTTCCCTCTTCCTCTCCTTTTCTTTTCTGAAATCAATAAAAATGTACTTTTAAAAAAGATGCTGTAAAACAAATTGTATGGAGCTAAACTAGATCTCCCTACCTTAGCCTCAAAAGCATTTCAAATTCTCCTTTCCCAAAGATTTGTAGAAGACAATTCTGACCACAAAATTTCCATGACCGACTCATGGTGTGGCCCAAAAATAGATAGTATATTTCCCATCCCTTTGTTGCAAGATAGATCTTGCAACAAAGGGATGGGAAATATCTTTATCTTTTAAAGATATTTAATCTTTTTACTCTTACTTTAATCTTTTTACTCTTTCACTCACTATAAGAAACCAATTCTATATGTTAGAGATTCATAACAGGGTATGCCAGGAATAATCTTTAGTTTCTAGTCTACTTTTAAATAAATATAATCTCTTATAGTTTTGACAACAGATTTTAGATAATTAGTATCTAGTTACCTCACATCTTCACCTTCCTCTAAAATAGACAAACAGATAGTACATTTTTCCTCTGTGTCCTCCTCAGTCCCTTCTTCCCCATCTTGTTTGCAGTGCAGTTTCCTCTGTGAGAACCAATCAGTTGTTACCTTGTTAGTAGAGATGACATTATTGAACAACTGAGTAAAGACTGTGTTTATTTGAAATACAAAAATAAAACAAAACCACACATTCACCCACAACTTTTTCCCAGGTTCAACTATCATGAATTAGTGGTCTTAAGGTACTATCACCAATTAAATGTTTCCTTATGACCCTTAAATAATTAGCATCAAAAGCAAAATCGAAGTTAACAGAAATTCATTAGTTTGAAATCTATGATTTTTAATTCACAAAAAGGATGATACACAATATAAACTATCTCTGTACTATCATGAGCATAGCTAAATAAACTTTATTTTACTAATAATGTTTCAAAAAAGCTACTCAAATTAATTAATACTAATTACAGTACTTAGCTTAGTCAGCTGAAAGGAATTAAATTTAAAGATAATATACCCTGTTAATATACTTAGAAAACAGATGAAAAATACAAATAATAATTTTCACAATTTATTACTCTGTGCAGCACAGAAAATTGTTGTTTGTTGAAACAAACTTATTTAACATGTCTATTTCACAACTTCTTGATATACTACTACATAAGGAATTGGGGATAGAATATAAGAAATGTACATTGCCGGGACTGGTTTGACTCAATGGATAGAGCGTTGGCTTGGGGACTGAAGGACCCGGGTTCGATTCCGGTCAAGGGCATGTACCTTGGTTGCGGGCATATCCCCAGTGGGGGGTGTGCAAGAGGCAGCTGATCGATGACTCTCTCTCATCGATGTTTCTGACTCTCTATCTCTCTCCCTTCCTCTCTGTACAAAATCAATAAAATATATTTTTTTTAAAAAAAGAAATGTACATTAACTAAACCTCCATCAAAATAAGTGGCTGGTTAAATTATGGTACTGTCATATGATGGAATTCTGTAAATGCTATTAAATAAAAAATATGGATGATCTGTGAGTGAAGATACAGAATGAAGAGAGAATGTGTCAAATTCTGTGCACAGCAAATTCTTTGTTTTATTTTTCAAAGTAGAAAAAATATATACATATGTACATTATTACAAATGTATAAAAATATTTGAAAAATTACCTAAAAAATCCTTAACCATTGTTTTTCTTTTGAAAAGGAAGACTGGGGACAGTCAGCAGGGCAATACACATCAGAGTATATATTTTTTTATACTTTGAATATTTTTAACTATATGTATATATTGTTTTAATAATAAATAATAGAATTGTTATAATGCACAAACTAAAAGAAGATCTATATTACATTTTATCCATTTTAATAATAATGTAGGTGTTTCACAAAGTAAATTCTTACCTTTTTATATTTATGTGGATATGTACATCTTTCAATTGTTCCCTGGGATGCTCCACGATTGACATTTCCTAATCTTTCTTCCAAATGAATCAGTTCCTGAAGGTGAAGAATAATTAGTATTAAAAACCAGGATGGTTATTCTTTAAACAGCACTGTCAATATTGTAAACTAAATAAAGTTCCATATTTATAAACCTGCAATGCAATGCAAATAGTACTCAAAAAGCTGTAAATAGTGCCTAAGCAGTGTGACCTAATGACGGAGCATCGACACATGAACCAGGTGGTCATGGTTTGATACCTAGGCAGGGCATATGCCTGGGTTGTGGGTTCAATCCCCAGGTGGAGGCATGCAGGAAGCAGCCAATCAGTGATTCTCTCTCATTATTGATGTTTCTATACCTCTCACCCTCTCACTTCCTCTCTGAAATAAATAAAAATATATACTAAAAAAAAGAAAAAAGTGGTATGGAAAAGTTATTATTACAGATAAGGGAAACATATTCCCACATAGTATTATGTAAGTCAGTAAGTATGTATGTACAGCAGGGTGGGGAATCTTTTTACTGTCAAGGGCCATTTGGATATTTATAACACAATTTTCGGGCCATACAAAATTACCAACTTTTGCATATAAATGGCCTGACCCTTTGCAATCTAAAATTACCCAACAAACTGCAGCTGGATAAGAGAGACCCAGAACATCCAAAAGAAGGCCCAAGGCCCCACAGCAACTTGCATTGCTTCACAGCTGGGCCTCATCTGGGCACATCCAAACCCCAAACAAAGAAGAGGAATCTGCAGATCTCTCTGAAGCTCCTGCAGGGTGACCTAAGGCAGAGGCTAAATTTTCACCTCCTTAGAGATCCAAGAGCCAATGTACCCAGTGGTCAGAGTGGGACCATCCAGATTACATCTCCTCGGATTCATATAGGACACCTCAAGGGGCAGACTCTGAATACCAAAGCCCCATTAAAGCAAGTCTTTCCCCAAAAGCACGAAAGTTCTCCCATCGTAGACACAGTTGATCCTCAAAGCCAATTGACCTGGAGATCAATTCTTCCCAATGATACCAACAACAATCAATGCTTAACTACAACAAGACTGTGTACACAGCCCACAAAGGGATGCACTAAGAATGTCCACCTCAGGTAACTGAGGAGGCTGAGCCACTGGGGCCAATAGGACACCTAACACACAAAGCCACTCTATCAACACAGGGAAGCAGCCAAAATGCGGAGCAAATAACAGGTCACAAATGACAGAAATGGAGGAAAGCAAACTGTGAGTTCAAAACCACGGTTATAAGGTTTTTCAAGAATCTTCTAGAAACCGCCGATAAATTTACTGAGACCCTCGAGGATATGAAAAAGGACCAACTAGAAGCATACACTGACTGAAATAAAGAATAATATACAGAGATAAAACAGCAGACTAGAGGATCATAAGAATCAAGTCAAAGAGTTGAAATACAAAAAAGCAAAAAACACCCAACTGGAAAAGAAAAAAGATAAAAGAATCCAAAAAGTTGAAGATAATGTATGAAGCCTCTGAGACAACTTCAAGCGTACCAACATCAGAACTATGGGGGGGCCAGAAAAAGAGAGAGCAAGATATTGAAAACCTACTTGAAGAAATAATAACAGAAAACTTCCCCTACCTGGTGAAAGAAATAGACTTACAAGTCCAGGAAGCAGAGAAAATTCCAAACAAGAGGAATCCAAAGAGGACTACACCAAGACACATCATAATTACAATGCCAAAGGCAAAAGACAAAGGGAGAATATTAAAGACAGAAAGAGAAAACCAGTTACCTACAAGGGAGTACCCATAGGATTGTCAGCTGATTTCTCAACAGAAATTATGTAGGCCAGAAGGAAGTGACAAGAAATATTCAAAGTGATGAATAGCAAAGCAATCATTCAGAAATGAAGGTCAGATAAAGAGCTTCACAGATTAAGAAAAAGTTAAGGAGTTTACCACTACCAAACCAGTATTATATGAAGTGCTAAAAGGTATTCTTTAAGAAGAGGAAGAAGCCAAAACAGGTTTGGCTCAGTGGATAGAGCGTTGGCCTGCAAACTCAAGGGTCCCAGGTTCAATTCCCATCAAGGGCACGTACCTTGATTGTGGGCACATCCCCAGTAGGAGGTGCGAAGGAGGCAACTGATCAATGTCTCTCTCTCAACAATGTTTCTAACTCTCTATCCCTCTCTCCTTCCTCTCTGTAAAAAATCAATAAAAAATATTTTTTTTTTAAAAAAAGAGGAAGGAGAAGAAAAAGGGGAAAAAAAATTATGAACAACAAATATTTATCTATCAACAAGTGAATCTAAAAATCAAGTGAAAGATCCAAGATGGCAGCTTAGATAAACACATCTAAACTGCTACAATGCACAACAATTTCAAAACTACAACTAAAAGATAAAACGTCTATCACCTAGAAACACAGGAAAGCATAACCATTATTGCTTGTCTCATTTTCGATTCTTATAAGTATATTTCCAGTAGGATGTGATCTCACTCATCTAGGGGAAATGATGAACAACATAGACTGATGAACAAGAACAGACCCAGAGATAAGGAGCCATGAGTCAGACTGTTGAACCTCAGAGGGAGGATGGGAATAAAAGGGAGAGATCAACCTAAGGACTTGTGTGCATACATATGAGTCTAACCAGTGGTCAAGGATAATAGAGGGGTGGGGGCATGAGTGAGGAGGGGTGGGGGATTCGAATGGGGGATTGAGGACAAATATGTGATACCTTAATCAATAAAGAAAAATTTTTTTAAAAGAGGGAAACAAATCAAGCAATATTTCTAAGTCCTACTTCCTCTAAGTTACAAATTGACATGAAGAAACAAAACTTTAAACCATATTTAAATGATTTGTTCTTCTGAAAATTCAAACAAGGAGCTATTCAGTTATAAGCTAAATCACTTAGGATACTTTTCTTCCTGCAATATTTTAATAAAAATTAAACTTAGTCAAAAGCATTAAGCCCCCCACCTCCAACATTTCAGTTTGGTTCTTTATCTGATATTATAATGATTTTATACATTTCTATATTTCTTTTTTTAAAATATATTTTATTAATTTTTTACAGAGAGGAAGGGAGAGAGATAAAGAGATAGAAATGTCGATGAGAGAGAAACATCGACCAGCTGCCTCTTGCACACCCCCTACCGGGGATGTGCCCGCAACTGGAATCTAACCTGGGACCTTTCAGTCCTAAAGTCGACGTTCTACCACTGAGCCAAACCGGTTTCGGCCATTTCTATATTTCTTTATATTAGGTTATTTTCATTTACTCTTCTTTAAATCCTTGGGTAATTTTTGTTTTGTTTTGTTAATCCTCACTGGAGGATATTTTTCCATTGATTTTTTAGGAAGAGTGAAAGAGAGGAACATCAATGTGAGAGAAACACATCAATTGAGTGCCTCCTACATGGGCCCTGATCAGGACTTGGGCTAATGCTCTATCCATTGGCTAGGGCTCCTTGGGTAATTTTTTTAAATTATTTATTTATTTATTTATTTATTTATTTTTAAATCAATCTCTAGTGTTCATATTATTACAAAGGTTCCTCACTTCCTCCTCCCTCCACCAGGTTCCCACCCCACCCTCTGCCATTTCCCCACCCCCCATTGTCCCCATCCATAGGTGCACAGTTCATGTTCAGTCTCTTCCGGCATCCACCACGGGGAGGGGGGGGGGGGGGGGCGCCCCCCAGAATTGTTAGTCCACTCCCCTCCCGTATCTCTGATTCTACTACAATCAACAGGTAACATTGTTCATCAGATTTTTGAATTTCCTTATTTGTTTGTTTTTTAATTAATAAACTTTTATATTTTTAAGAATAAATTTTAAAATCTAATAATTTTAATCCTTGTTTTTTCTGCCCTGGGAACTGAGAAGCAAACTTGTTTACATGTAAACTTGCCCTTAGGCTATCAAAAGGTGTAGCCATTCAAATGTAAATGGCCACATTTTTTTAAAGATAGCTGCTTGCTGGAATTGGATTACCTGTTCTGGGTAGGAAGGGCTGGTCCTCCCCTTTCTCCATTAAAATGTTAGCTTTAAAACCTCTTTTTGACAAAAGACCTTAAACTTTCATAACTTTAAATTTTTCAGGTAGTAAATCAATTACTTAGTATTTTCTCAAATCAATAATACCTCCACATGCCCAAGGATACACTTCACACACAAGACACTTCCAAATAGATCAACCAACATCTTCCATACCCAACACAAGGCGCTCACAGATCAACACCCCAGCGCTATAATAACTCAATACATCCAGATCTATGCTTTCACCAGTTGATTCAGCAGACCCTCAAGTTCCCCCAAAAGTTTCCAGCCATGTCTGAGAAGCAGCCCTGGGGCGGGGGCAGGCGAGGAGGGAGCTGTTCCGGGCCCGGCTGCTTCAGGCCTGGTCTCTGTTGCTCTGGTCCGCTCCACAACCAGCTGCTCTGGGCCTGGATGCTGCCGCTCTGGGCCTGGCTGCTGCTGCTTTGAGCCCGGCTGCTCCGGGCCTGGCCACTCCCGGCCTGGCTGCTCAGGGCTTGGCTGCTGCTGCCCCAGGCCTGGGTGCTCCAAGCCTGGCTGCTGCTGCTCTGGGCCTGGCTGCCACTGCCCAGGCCTGGCCACTTTGGGCCTTGCCACCACTGCTCCAACATTGTCTTTTTTTTTTTTTTTTTTTTTTTTTTAACGCATTTATATTGCAATGTTGGCTGCTGAGTTGAGTTCTGTCTTACTCTTGGATTTTTCAAGATGATCTTTGTATTCTTTCTTAAGTAATTTTACTATCTTTTGCTATAACTTGATTTCTTCACATTGAAAACTTCTTCGGTTTCTTCCTCCTCGTCCTGGAAGCTCAGCAGGCTGACCTGCGGCGCCCCTTTGTTCTCGGTGGCCTTCTGCACAGCTTCAACCTGTTGCCAGGGTTGGCATCACCCAGGAAGCAGCCCCCGGCCTCGGCTCCGTGGCCTGCGATCAGCGGTCAAGGGTCTAGCGACACCTCCCCCCTAGGGGCCCTGTCACCTGGCTCCTTGCTGGCGCCCAGCTTGCTGGTGCCCAGCAGCAGCTCTTGCTCCTCATCACGTTCTTCCCAGACTGGAGCTTTTGTCTCCTTCCCGCTAGGGCAGTATAGCATCGGAGTCAACATTCCGTCCTCTGCGCGCAATGTGCTCAACTCCAGGGCTCTGCTTTTTGCCGCTCCCCTGGAATTCCACCTCTCAGCCCCGTCTCCCTCTGTTTGAGGCTGGGTCCCCAGGGACTGGCCTAGAAATGGGGTTCAGTGCAGTCGGAACTGAGGCTCAGCACAGCCGGAGCTTTTGTCTCCTTCCCGCTAGGGCAATCTAGCATCAGAGTCAATATTCCGTCCTCTGCGCGCAATGTGCGAAACTCCAGGGGCTATGCTTTTCGCAGCTCCCCTGGGGTTCCGCCTCACAGCTCCGTCTCCCTCTGTTTGAGCCTGGGTCCCCAGGGTCTGGCCTAGAACTGGGGTTTAGCGCTGTCGGTTCTGGGGTTCAGCCCAGTCCGGGGCTTTTATTTCCTTCATGCTAGGGAACGCCAGCAAGGAACTCAGCCTCCCCCTCCTCTCCGGCTCCGTCCTCTCCGTGCGTGCGCAGCATGTCTCCGTACCTTAGGCTTTTACAGCTCCTCTGATTTTCTTTATGGTTTTCTCTTTCCTTCTTGTTGTAGAATTTTCGGTCAGTCAACTTCCTAAAGCTCTGGGCAATGTCCATTTTATATTTTAGTTGTATTTTATTGGAATTGTTGTATGCGGCTGTGGTTAGGTGTTTACCTGTGCAGCCATCTTGGATCCCTAATTTTTAAACTAAGATTAATAAACCACAATCCATAAAAGCAATATCAGAAATTCAGACATTTTACTGCCTTCTGCTTTATTGCCCAGTCACAGAGGCAATCCTATACAATTGTGAATACGAATAATACATATATTTTCTCCCTGAACTAACGATAGTATGACAGATAAATTAATTTTATTACATACCTCAAAATTGCCCCTGAAAGGACCTCTAAATGACGTTCCATCCAATCCTGATGAAATGTAACGGATGTGAGGGTAGCCTGCCATGTCAGGAACCTATTTTAATAGAGGAGATAAGTTAAACCATCAAGCACAGGCTTGAATTCTTTTATTAACATTAAATAATTCAGACACTCAATTCTCTCCATTCAGCTACTCACACACTTAAATTCAACTTCAGTAAATCTATATAATTCCAACTAAACATTCTATAACAGTTAGGTTCCTCTTCAAACATAATCTTGTATATAATAGCTCTTAAAATGTAATTAGATAAAAAAGAAGAAATAGCTGTCCCATAAAATAACAGGTTTCTTATATTTGATTTATTTTGCATAAGGAATCCTAAGTAGAAAATACCCAGACTTAAGACTGATAATAGCCTAAACATATAGAGTAATACTTTCATAAGATCTTATCAGTTTCCAAGAGCTTTATTAAACAGTATTAAGGAACAAAAAAATGCAGCAAATTTTCACACAAAACTTTATTTTCAGTCTTCTAAAGTATTCTATTCCTTTGTTGTTGTTGTTGTTGTTGTTAATCCTCACCCAAGAACATGCTTATTGATTTTTGAGAGAAGGGAAGGGGGAGAGAGAGAAAGAGAAACACCATTTAGTTGCCTTCCTGGGGGATCAAACCTGCAACCTTTTGGTGCACAAGATGACGGTCCAACCAACTGAACACTTACCAGGGCCCCACTCCTCTTTGTGTTTGGTTCTGGTGGTGAAGTAGTAACAGTGTTTTCTAACTTTTTAAGTGTAGCTGATCCTCACTATTCACAGATCCTTTATTTGTGAATTTGCCTACTTGATAAAATTTATTTCTAACTCCAAAACCAATACTTGTGCTTTCATAAACTTTCATGGACATGCACAAAGCATACACAAAAAATATCAGATGCCTGACATGTGTCGCAGCACAGGTAGAAACAAGGCCTTTTTTCAGCTCTTATATATACTACTAGAAACCCAGGACACGGATTCGTGCACTGGTGGGGTCCCTCAGCCTGGCCTACCCTCTGGAAATCCAGGACCCATTGGGGGATCTAGTAGTGTGCAAAGCGACAGGCAGCCAAGGAAGAGCCGAGCCAGGCCAGGTGCCACGCCACTGCTGCTCATCCTGGCCCCGCTACATCTGCCACCGCTGCTTGGTAGTGCTGCCACCGAGGCAAGAGAGGCTTGTGCCGCAACAGCTGCACTTGCCAGCCGTGAGCCCAGCCAGCCTCTAGTGCCATCAGTCAGATGAGTGGCACTCCCATTGTGGGAGTGCAATGACCACCAGGGGGCGGCTCCTGCATTCTGCATTTGCTCCCTGGTGGTCAGTGCATATCATGTTGACCGGTTGTTTGGTCACTTAGGCTTTTATATATACTAGCATACAGTAGATTAGAGAATGTCTTTTTGCTGCCTCTTTAGTACCATGTTTCTCACATTTTTGTGCTTTCTAATATATTTTATTGATTTTTTACAGAGAGGAAGAGAGGGATAGAGAGCTAGAAACGTCGATGAGAAACATCGACCAGCTGCCTCTTGCATACCCCCTACCGGGGATGTGCCCGCAACAAATGTACATGCCCTTGACCAGAATCGAACCTGAGACCTTTCAGTCCACAGACCAACCAACGCTCTACCACTGAGCCAAACCGGTTTCGGCTTTCTATTTGTGTTTCATTGTTTAAAATGGCCCCAAGCATAATGCTCAAGTGCTGACTGTTGTTCTTAAGTGCAAAAGTACTGTGATGTGCCTTATTGAAAAAAAATAAATGTAGACAAGTTTCATTTAGGCACTGGCTTTGAATTCAATGCTAATGAATCAACAATATGTATCAAATAAGGTGTCTTTAAACAGAAATATACATTAAACCAAAGTTATGTTTTGATGGGTTTTATGATCAAAGGCTTGCAGTAAACTAACCCTGTATTTACCCCAGGAATAATGGTTCAGTATTCACTTAGCATTGGCAACAATGTTACAAAACATATTTGCCATGAAAAACAGGGGTCCATTTTATTAAGAAAGGGAAATTCTGGAATAGAGCACCATTCTTCCCTCTCTATATATAACTAGAGGTTTGGTGCATGAATTCGTGCACAGGTGAGATCTCCTAGCCTGACCAGCAATCAAGGGCTAACAGGGGGGCTGAAAGGAGGAGGGAGTGTGGGAGGTTGTCTGTGGGAGCGCACTGACAACCAAGGGGCAGCTCCTGTGTTGAGTGTCTGCCCCCTGGTGGACAGTGACCAGTAAGTTCAGTTGTAATGGTTGCTTAGACTAATTACAGATATAGATAGATAGATATAGATATAGATATAGATATAGATATAGATATAGACACACACACACACACACACACACACACACACACACACACACACACACACGAGGGCCAGTGCATGAGGCCCAGGGGAAGGGAGAGAGGAAAGGTGGGGCGCGGAGGACGGGGTGCGGGGGGGAGGGTACCTCAGCCTGGCCTGCACCCTCTCACAATCCTGGTTATTATTTCTAACTTAGATATGTCTATGGTTTGCAAGTTCAGACCATAAACCTAACTCCCTACTGGACATTCCATCTTAATCCAGTCATTTCAGATTCAATATGTCCAAAACCTAACACACTTAACCCCTTAATGAAACCCTCATCTAATATTCTCCAACTAAGTGAATGGCATCACTATAATATAATAATCCAAGCTAGAAATCATCTTAAATATTACTCAAATGTGTCCCATCATGTTTATAGCAACTGCTATTGCCTTTGTTCAGGGGTTTATCACTTTACTAAACTCTTACATTATAAGTTTTAACTAGTTCCGTCCACCCTGAAATCTATTTTCCACCCAACTGAGAAGGTGGCCTTTCTAATTACAAGCTGATTTAATCACTCTAAAACATAAATACCATCAAGATATTCCCTTTTCCAATGGTTCATTGAGTCCATGTTTCTTGGCAGGGCAACATTATTTTGTATTGCTAAGTTTTCCTCCCCTTTAAGATCGAGAAATTCCAATTTACTTGGAATTGCTTGTACTTATGCTATTTGACAGTTCTTTATATGCTGTGGCCACTGTAAGAGCACCATTTTCTTTCTTTTTTTAATATATTTTATTGATTTTTTACAGAGAGGAAGGGAGAGGGATAGAGAGTTAGAAACGTCCATGTGAAAGAAACATCGATCAGCTGCCTCCTGCATACCCCTACTGGGAAAGTGCCGATTCCCTTGACCGGAATCGAACCCGGGACCCTTCAATCCACAAGCCGAAGCTCTATCCACTGAGCCAAACCAATTTTAGCAAGATCACCATTTTCAATTCCAAAGCCTGATCAGAAGCTACATGTATAATAAAGCATCTTGGAAACCCTTCCCTACAGTGTCTTTACCTGCACAAAACCAAACTACTCCCTTCTCTCTACCACTTTTATAACTAGTATGTATTATAAATAGCAAACTCTGTAAATTTTTGAACTTGTTCTTTGGAATTCAAACTGAAATCAACAAAATCTGAATCTATTTAAATCAGATATAGAGAATTAATAGTCCTACAGATAAGAAAATAAAGTACAAATACATCAGAACAAATTACTACTATGAAAAATAAATCACATTTCAATGACAATGGATCAAGATTATTATCTTTGTATAAAAGAAAAAATGTAGTCATTTTTACATTAAGAAGAGTTCATTTTACAATACATGTACAGATTTAAATGTATCCAATATCTTTTTATTGCAAATTTTCTCTAACAATTCTCAAATTCTATTAAGACACCCACAACAACTAATACATTAAACACATTTCCAATAAAATATTTAACTTAGAAAAGAAAGAATACTTTTAGGAGGATATATCAGAACTTTGAAATTTTCTATTTTACCATTAAAGGAAGTGCTCCTAATTGTAAGTGATGAAGTCGAGGGGGTGCATGGTAATGGGCCAGGTGAGGATGCAATGCTCCAGGTGTATAAGTAGTTGCAGTCACTCCAGCTTCAATTCCCAATTCCCTGGCAAAGGATGAGAAGAGTTTAACTTTTAGACTTCCTTAGTGGCTTTATTATCAATGGAAATGAGGGAGAAAGTAATCCAATGTATATAAGATGAGAAAAAGATAATTTAGCCCAAAAGATTTAACTCATAATTTCAAATTCATTGCAGAAATTAAAATTCAAAAATACAATTTTATGACAATCAGGCACAATGCAATTTGGACATGGTTTCAAAACTTACAAAGAAAAGCAATACAGTTGACACTTGAACAACATGGGTTTGAACTGCATGAATCCACACCTGTTTTGTTCAAGGGTCAACTGTATAATGAATGGTCCCTAAGGTTCCTTCCAAACTAAAAGTCTGATTCTACTTGAGGAGCATGCAAAGCAGAGTTGACTTTTTTTGTTTACATGAATGTTACAGATGCTCCCATGGTTTTTGTTTGTTGGTATCAACTGCCTACAAATAATTGTTTCAGAAAAAAATTTAAAGCAAATCTGCTTCCATTTCTCCAGGAAAAGACCAGAAACCTAGGAGGTTGGATTTACTTTGTCAATGGCAGGGGTTTAGGGGCATAAAACAAATTTGAGCACAAAGCCAGATAAAAATGTGAGAAGTAGGATTCACTTATGGAGTTAACTTTGATGATAGACACCCCTGAAAACAACAATCAAAAAAGCTCTGCTCTTGTTTAACATGGTTCCCTGATCCAGAACTCAAGCTCCTACTCTTTCATCTCCAGGTCTCTTTAACTCACCCATAGTCAGTGCCTCAAAGCTAAGCTGCAATTCAGTTTTTCCACATCATCCTTTGGTATGGCATTCCACTACAAAGCATCTCTTCCAGCAGTTTTACCACAAGATGCTGAGCAGAACTTTAAAATAAACAAGATACTGACCAGGCGGATCTCTCTGGAGCCTGTCGAGGATGTGAGGACATAGTCTGAGGCACGTGAATATGATGCCCATGACCATAGTTTGGGTGCATCCTATGTGGATGGGGTGGGGGGCGTTCATGTGCCCGCCTGGAAACACAGAACACAAAAAGACCACTGGAAATAATTGAATAATTGGTTATTTCTTAATGTAGAAAACAATCTGGTATAGTACAAACATCTATAGATTAGTCATAAAATTAACTGTAACAATAAATTATAGGAATATAAAACAAAATTAATGATTCATAATAAATCAAGAAACCCTAACAACAAAATTCTTACTGCCCATTTATTATGCCTCCAATTCAAATATCATCCAAAAATAAAGGCAATTTTAACATTATCTGCTATACCTTCTTTACAGTAGATATTTTAAACAGAATAGTAGAAATTGAATAAAAAACAATTTTAAAAATTAAATACCCCAGCAAATGCTGCAGGCACAAAGAGGTTATTTCTATGTAAACAAATAGGGCAAAAAAATATAAGCTATTTGTTTGCTTCACTTTTATATTATAACAACATTCATTTTAATGGATAAACTTTTAAGAGAAAAACATTTTGACCTTGTTCATTTTGATACATGTACATGCCAAGTACATGTATCATTTTTTTAATTAACATTTGAAAAAGTGTTACTACTCCATTCATAATCTTTATTCTGCATCCCAGCTTATTATATTTTCTCTTTCTAGTCTTAAGTCAGTCAAATGTACAATTATAAATGACCACAAAGTTCTAAATACTTATTAAAAAAAACAGTGCCAGGTAGTAATTTTTATTCTAATTCTTATTTTCTATTTGTTTCTAACAATTACAGATTTTGAATCTTTAATTATTACAAAAAGTAATTTTTTAAATACTAGATAACCTGGATGTTAAATTGGCAAATTCCTATATAAAAGGTTACTATATTAGAATGGCAATAGCAGTAAGAGGTTCTGGATATATAATCTTAAATTATATAACTAAAGCAAAAAGTTACACAAGCGCCAAGTCATTAATTAGATCAACAGTTTGCAAACACATTCTGTAAGGGCGAAGTAATACATATTGTTGGCTCATTAGCCCACCTGGTCTCTGTTTCAAATACTCAACTTAGTTTTGCAGTGTGAAAAAAGTCAGATAATACAAAAATGAACAGGTGTAGATGTTTTTCTACAAAACTTAATTCACAAAAATAGATATGCAGAATTAGACCAACAGAGTTTACTGCACTGAATTAGAAAATTAGATCCTGAATTTTCAAAAGAAAACAAAAAGTTCAATTACAGTTTTTGTATGTTTGTGGAGTACAATATTTTAACATTTAAATTTGTAAGTAAAAACTAAAGAAGGCTGAAACTGGTTTGGCTCAGTGAACAGAGCGTCAGCCTGCGGACTTAAGGGTCCCAGGTTTGATTCTGGTCCAGGGCATGTACTTTGGTTACAGGCACATCCCCAGTAGGGGGTGTGCAGGAGGCAGCTGATCGATGATTCTCTCTCATTGTTGTTTCTAACTCTCTATCCCTCTCTCTTCCTCTCTGTAAAAAATTCAATAAAATATATATTAAAAAAAATAATAATAATAAACTAAAGAATACTATTTTTTCAATACCAGTTGATAATGCTAATACTCTTCTTCCCTCTGGTTGATAATATTTAAGTCAAATTATATCTATAACATTATGTTTTGTTTCCCTGGACCATCAATTCTAACATTTATCTTTACTATGAAATAATGATGAAACAGGCAAAGAAGGGATTGGTTTGCAAAAGTAAATGACCTGGACACTATCCTGAAAATGGTTTGATTTGTTAGGTAACCTGATATACAATTGTTTTGTCAACCCCTACAACTCAGGATAAGAGGAAGATTCTAGTTAGTAAAGAATTAATTTCCTTTTAAACTAAGGATTTAATACAGTTCTATCACTTCTACAGGTTTTATAATTTTAAAGATGAGTGGAGACAGAAGGGAGCAGAATAAAGTGTGATTATCTTTGTAAAAGCATAAAACCTACGTTGGATGCTGCATCATCCTCCTCCTTTGAACTTCCATCCTCTGCATTACTTCATGAGGATGCAGTCTCTGTGCTGGAGGTGCAGTGGCTGGAATATGGTGTGAAATCGGCTGGTGTGAGGGAGGAAGATGTTGAGGAATTGGTGCAGCTGTACTGGCTAAATGAGTTGGGGGTGGGGGTGCCACTGGGTGAGATGTTGTATGAGAAGACATCTGAGAATGGAAAGCATGTACAGGATGAGGAATAACGTAATCAGGTGGAGGCTGCGTCTGAGGAGGAGGGTTTCCATGAGAGTGGGGGCAGGCAGAGGCTTGATGATGAAGTGGTCTTGTTAAAGAAGCATCTGTAAAGAAACACACAGGCACCATGCAGTTAAGCATACACTGCAATTACACAACCCTACTGGATTTTACAAATGTATTAGCACATACTTAATTTTAATGAATACTTTATCAAGTCTGTTCAATTTTGCTCTGCATCCTTTCTTGGAATAATCTTAGATATCTTCTCATGTTAATACATATATCTTCCTTTTATTCACAGTCTCACAGCATTCTATTATAGGAATGTAATAAGATTTAGTAAAGAAACTGCTACTGATAAAAATTAAAAGCTAGCTAAAACTAACAAGTACGAGTAAACCATGGACTGTAGTTGATAATAATGTGTAAAAAAAAAATAATGTAGCCATATCATTTAATTAATTTTAACAATTAATTGTTTAATAATGTATGATATTAGTAATAGGGGAACTAGACATGGGGTATATACAAACTCTCTGAGCTATTGTCTCAATTTTTCTGTGAATCTAAAACTGTTCTAAAAAATAAAGTCTAGTATTTTATAAAAATTGAAAGCAACCCAAATGCTGTAATAAACAACTGTGTGTATGATCCTCCTGGGTTACTCACTCTTTCACATGTACATATACATAAATGTGTGTGTGTGTGCGCGCACACATGCACACACACTCACAGAGACATTACTCATGGACAATTATTATATCATAAATTCCTATAAGCATTTCTGAGTCTAAGAGAATAATATAGATACCAGTTGACAAAATACCCTTGCCAAAAGGTTACTGAAATTAATATTTCCACTAACAGTACATGAAGTGTGCCTGATTATAAATATACTATCTCTAAATCTTTAAGATGCCAATCTGAGAAAAATTTTCTATTTATTAGTCACTTATATTTCTTCACAGAACTATCTATTCATATTCTTAGCCTACTGTTTACCTTTTCTTGTTGATCTGTAAATATTCTTTATATACATGGAAACTTTCTCATAATGAGATATAAACGTTTTTCCGAATTGTCTTTTGTTAATTATATTTTGCCATTTGCAAGTTTTTTTACTTTGTTAAGTCAAATGCATAAGTTATATATTTCTAAACACATGAACCATGTTTTGCTTTAGGATTTACTGGTTATAGAGCACTAAAGAAAGGCAAGGAACTCAGGAGTCCTCTAGATATTCTTTAATTGATGCTCTTCTCTTTCCCCGCCCCATGCCATTTTTCCTGTGCTACATAAGAAAATGAAGGAGACAACATGCCATGGAAATCAGTCCTTCATACAGATAACTTCCCCCATATCTTTATTCTGAATATTTGTGTTTCAAAGTGACTGGTGAAAGGTCTCTCTGAAGAGTTTATATCTCTTACTCTAAAAGATATAAATCTGATTGAGGTCTAAAAATATGCTTGTCTCCTCCATCAATTTCAGTTTGAATTTGGAAGATTTTCTCAGTTGTCTGGTATGAAGCTATGGCCATTCTCTAGTTTCATTTATGAAGAACTTCCGTCAATTTTTAATTCTTTTGATTCAGACAGTAGGTAGCCATGAATACTCATTCAGCTATATTTTCAAATGAAACCTTGCTAGCATGTATTTAAAAGAAACTTTCAGTAGCTCAACAGGGTTATAAGACAAATATACTGATATTTGTAAAAAGTTATGTTGTCAAATTAATGCTTTAGGAAGTTACCAAACTCAGTACTTCTTGATCATAAAAAAAGAAGTAACTGTTTTATCCTAGTTAACTACCTTTTCTCGGTTTCAGAACATTTTTCCAGTTTCATCTCAAAGTTTTCTATTTCTTTAATCATTATGCAAAAAAAATAATATTCAGCTGAAACCAGTTTGGCTCAGTGGATAGAGCGTCAGCCTGCAGACTGAAGGGTCCCAGATTCGATTCTAGTCAAGGTCATGTACATTGGTTGCGGGCACATTGGTGGGAGGTGTGCAGGAGGCAGCTGATCGATGTTTCTCTCTCATCGATGTTTCTAGCTCTCTATCCTTCTCCCTTCCTCTCTGTAAAAAATAAATAAAATATATATTTTTAAAAATAATAACATTCACAAATTTTATAAAATTTTAAAGTTTTGCTTCATAATGAATTTATTTAAGTTAAACTCTTCAACAATCATTTTACTTTTCAGCTATATTGAGGTATAATCCTATACAATAAAAGTCTAATATACTAAGTGTCTGGTTGACCAGTCAGCTTTTCCACCAATCAAAGCGTAGTATGTTAATGATATGCTAAGGATGCTCAACTGTTCACAATAACATACACTGACCACCAGGAGGCAGACGCGCAGACTGGTAGGTTAGCTTGCTGCTGGGGTCCAGCCAATTGGGACTGAACCAGAGGACTGGACACGCCCTGGAACCCTCCCGCAGTCCCTCTCTAGCTGGACAACCTCCCACATCTCTCCCCAGCCCTGATCATACACCGGTGGGGTCCCACAGCCTGGCCTGTGCCCTCTTGTAATCTGGGACCCCTCAGGGGACACCAGAAAGCTGGTTTCAACCTGATCCCACAGGCCAGGCTGAGGGACCCCACTGATGAACAAACTTGTGCACCAGGCCTCTGGTTCACAAATACAACTGTATATATTTAAGGTACACAATATGATTTAGCATACATATACTTTATGAAATAATGGTATCAATCAGGTTAATTAACACATCCAATTGCCTAACATAGTTACCATCTTTTTGTGTGTAGTAAGAATATAAAGTCATCATTATAATCAATAAATATCTAAACAAAACATATAGCTAACCATTGTGGAAAAATACCATTCTGCATTCCCACAGATTATTTCTCTTCCTTCTCTATTTTATGTGTTCTTGCCAGTTTAAAAAAAAAAAAAAGGTACTAATATTCAACTTTTTATCAATCCTAAAAGTTCAATATGTCACTTTGACTCAGCAATCCCACTCTTAGGAAGTTATCCTACAGATAGATTAAAAAGCTACAAGCAATTTAAATGTCCATCAACAGAGGAATTGAAAATGCAATATTATAAAGATAGTAACAACAATATACTAGATTTTTATTTGCTAATATGGAAAAAAAATCAACCCACTGTTAAATTTAAAAAAATCAAGAATCCAAAAGCAAGAGGCAAATAATGTTTAATATGATCCCATTTTAATATATACACTTGTATGTTCAAATAAAACTTTTAAAAGGTTTTATAATAGGCTATAAACAGTTGTTACCTCTAAGGTGTTAAGATTAGTAGGATGTGGGGAGAAGGGCTTTTAACTTCTCATTTTATATCATTCTGCAGTTTGAACTTCTTAGGATGTACATATTATTTTTATAATAAATCAAGTTGGTTTAAAATATTTATTTCTTCATTAGGACATTAAAAATGAATAAATTCACTATAAATTGCCTGACTATATTATTTGAAGGAGGTGGGCAGAAAAGCACACATTTTGAGTATTTAATAAAAGATGATCAGTTGAAGATGAATATCAACAAATATTACAAATCAGCCTGTATAATTTCATACCAGTATTCATATACAGAATCTATCCATTTGTCAATGCTTTGCAAAATCTGTTTCAAAACCTGTTTCCTCGCTTACATTTTAAATGTTAAGTTGCATTATTGTAAAAATAAGTCTTGTCACCAGGTTTCACTGTACAAATCCTGGTTTAACTCTAGTTATATCTATAGAATACAAACTTAAAAAATCAGAGAAATGAAAGAAGAAATCTAAGGAGATACATAACTGGAAATGATTCTTTCCAAGTAATCAGAACAAAAGCCTGGTTTATTCCTGGCATGAATTTGTAGTTTTTAAATCAAAGTATTTATTAAGTTTCCATGATTATTAGCTTATGATTTAACAAAGTAATAAATATATGTTACATAGCCTTAGATTATTTCTCATTTCTTGTGATAGCTTATAGCTTTCCATTTCTTTTAAAAAGTCATGTCTGATTCTATTTTAACTACCTGTATTACTGAATATGGAAACCTTTTTGCAACTGGTAAAGCTTATGTCAAGGAATTCTAATGCCTCAGTTAAGCTTCAGAATTCTTATTCAAAATTTACTTTCCTTTGTATAGAAACAACTACTAAACTTCCAAATTTTCTATTAATCTTAAAGGATAAATCTAAGTTCCCTAAAACTTACTTTTACAGGAATCTAGTATGCCATTAAATGTATTTCAATTTCATAGACATTAAAATGTTAAAATGTAAAATAAAATATACTTTTTATTATCCTGACCCTTTTAAATAACACCTGATCTTTTTGCCCTAGAAGACTGTTTTGCCAAAACCGGTTTGGCTCAGTGGATAGAGCGTCTGCCTACAGACTGAAACGTCTCGGGTTCAATTCCGGTCAAGGGCATGTACCTTGGTTGCGGCCACATCCCCAGTAGGGGGTGTGCAAGAGGGAGCTGATAGATGATTCTCTCTCATAGATGTTTCTAACTCTTTATCCCTCTCTCTTCCTCTCTGTAAAAAAATCAATAAAATATATTAAAAAAAAAAAAAAAAAAAAAGCTATTTTGAGGATATGGGGTGAAGGGAAGATGGAATGGGAAAAATAAACCTCATTTAATATTTCCTTAGAGTAAGGAAATACTAAAAATCTATAAATTAAGATGACTGAAAGGTAATCTCATAGAGGAATGTAAAAGCTTCATTTATATGCTCCTAAGGTTTCTACCTGTTAAATTTATACTTACAAGGAGGTGGCATATAGTGTCGACATGATGAGAGTGAGGCTTGTGCAGGGGGCTGGGGCTGGGGCTGTGCAACCATGCTTGACCCATAACCATCTAGTGACAATGGCTGGCTCGGGACAGCAGCAGCAGCCTGGTGGCCAAAGATGGCAGCTCGGGAAGAAGAAACAGGGCAGCAGGGGTCAAATGCAGATGCTCCGTGAAAGCCCGCACTTCCATGACTTCTGATGGCATTGCTGCTCAGGTCCACTGGCAACGCCTGCTGCATAAAGAGGAATCATATTTTATTTTTCTAAAGTTTGTCAAAACATTGTTTCATGTTATGTTATAAAAGTGCTTCTAATGTAATCTAGAAAATAGAATCGTTGAATTAAGAATTTGAAAATGATAAAACTTTTAGTGTGAAACCTACAGACCACCAAGAAAATACTCTGTAGCTGGGATTGTAAAAATTGTAGTAATTATATACTTAAAATCTATAATCAATTTTTAAAAATCATGATAAGATCGTGCTACCCAATGAACAAAGTCAATTATTACTTTCAGGTCTATTCCTCCTCCATTATCTAGATATTAGAAAAAAAGAAAACTTTTCAATCATACTTCCATATTCTTCTTTATCCCCAAATTCTGATTAGCAATTTAGGACTTCTTTGAACAACATATAATCACATTACTGAAAACATTAAGTTCTAGGTAAAAATTTGTTCTATTTCTAAACTGTATATAGCACGTATTCAAATGAATCTTAAATAGTGCAAACATTACCTAAGATAACAAAGGGCATAAAATTCCTTTTATTAGAAACATGACTTAGGGGAAGGTCCATATACTAAGTTGGAAAATAAACCCAAAAGTCTACACATCAGTAATTTAGTTTCCTCCCCACCAAGTACTAAAAACTCCTATGTAAAACACTTTATCTTCTAATCTAAAACAGATTACAGAAATAGAATTGCTTATTTGTATTCTTAATTTAAATACAAAATCTTTTGCTTAGTTTTCACAATAGCTGTAATTTTAAAAATGTGATTAAAGAATATACTAATAAAGATTTGGTGTTATATATGGAATTATATATAGGAACTATTCAACACTGGAAGCTGAGGGCTGGAGGTAAAGAAGACTCGGGTAATATGAGAGGCCCAGGCCATCCAAGGACCCAGTGAGGAAGAACAGTGATCTCTGTGCTTTCAGTGGATACTAAAAGGAAAGGAAGAGGATGGTTAGGAGAAGCTGTGGGAAGGTGAAAAGGAATACAATAGATCTTTTCTTCCTCTATGTTATGTGTCTACAACTAATTAAATTAATGGCTGGCCTCTTTCTTTTGAGTTGGAAAATATAATGTTTGCCCTCAAATTGAGTACATAAGGTTCAAGAATAATATTGTGAGATCATGAATTTTTATTTATCCTTTCCCTATTTTCCTATTTAGGCTAAAATTTGGCAAATGCACTGGAGTATCAACATACTATGAAGGTGAGCAAATTTCCTATCTTCTTTCTCCAGTCACTGATTAAGAACACTCCCAGAGAGTGAGTAAAGTAGGGTGAAGGTCCTCCTGGAAGGAACCGAAGGGAAAGTTACAAGTAAAGAATAAAAAGAAAGGGGGGAAAAACCAACAAAGGGGAAAACCATTTTTTCACAATTCCAACAGTTCATTTAATTCTATTCTAGGGGGAAGGAAGAATAATCAAGATTGGTACAAAAATGGCAAATATTACTTTAGATTATAAGCAATGCATAATACTGAACTACTCTTTCAAAAGAGAAAGCAGCATTACACAAAGGAGTAGTAAGGACTACAGAGAGTCAAGTAACTACCGCAACTTCTTTGCTATCAGGCCTAATACTACCCAATCTTTCTCTGCCTATCCATCATCTGGCACTAAATCATAAGACTTACACTGTCACAAATCTTCAGATCAGTTTATGTCTCTCATTCTTCACTTTCTATTATAGCCACATAGGTCTCAACTGGTTATCTCATGAGCATGTGCCTAATTAGAGTACTCCAAATGTTTATATGAGTCTCAACTGTTTGTATCTTCAAAACCTCACTCTACTCTCCATCATATCTGCTGTCACCACTGAATTCCTGATCCTGCTGGTTTTCCTCAAGTTTTGTATGTAGTCCAAATACATCCACTTAAGAGACAGTATAGGTTATATCTATTTTACACTAAATAGAAGTGTAAGAGACTCTCCCTATAATTAAGTCAGTCAGGTTGAAAGAAAATGTGCCATACACAACTGATCTCTCAAATCAGCTGTATGATTTTATTAAATTAGAGGCCTGGTGCATAAAATTTGTGCACTGGGGGAGAAGGAGAGACAGGTCTTTCAGCCTGTCCTGCACTCTCTCACAGTCCAGGAGCCCTTGGGGATGTCTGACTAACACTTAGGGCTGCCAGAGTCAGGAGAGGCTCCAGCCACTGCTGCTGCACTCACCAGCCATGAGCCTGGCTCAGGGCTTCTAGCTGAGTGCTGCTCCCCTGTGGGAGTGCACTGACCACCAAGGGGAAGCTCCTATGTTGAGCATCTGGCCTTGATGGTCAATGCACATCATAGCAACCAATCTTTCCTTGCAGGCCTGGTCCCTCCCATCTGCCCTCCCCTTCTGGCCATCTTGTGGTGGCATCTTGTGTCCACATGGGGGCAGCCATTTTTGACCACACAGCGTAGCCATCTTGGGTGTTGGAGTGATGGTCAATTTGCATATCACTCTTTTATTAGCTAGAATAATATTCTATGAACAAAAGGCCCACCTTTTGGCAGCTCTTGAGTGAATGTGGAAGTTGGTAGATTTACTTTTACATCATTTTCCTACTATAATTATAAAGCCCTCTTCAGCCCAAATTTCTAGTAAAAGGAAATTTTGATTTTAAACAGTGCATTTCATTCTATTCACTGAAAAGGTTTCCTTTTGCGTCTCCATTCCCAAGAAGCAAAAAGGTCTAGACCAGTGGTCAGTAAACTCATTAGTCAACAGAGCCAAATATCAACAGTACGACGACTGAAATTTCTTTTGAGAGTCAAATTTTTTAAACTTAAACTTCTTTTAACACCACTTCTTCAAAATAGACACATCCAGGCCACGGTATTTTGTGGAAGAGCCACAATCAAGGGGGCAAAGATCTGCATGTGGCTCAAGAGCTGCAGTTTGCCAACCACGAGTCTAGACGATTAGCAGATATTAATACTTAGAACTGTTACCAAACCATCACCTATAATCTTTAAAATCAAATTTTCAATGAAACACTTTAACGTTTCTTCTAGATAACAGCACCTAGTTATTTTATTTTTTAAGGGAACACCCCTCTTTCTTAATTATATTTTAATTTGTCAGATGCAGAAGAGATAACGATCAAAATTTAAAGATGAAACAAGTACTTTAGGAAAGGTCAAGGGATACAAGAAAACAACAGTTGCTCTAAATATTCTTTAGTTTTTAAATTGAACTTATTGGAGTGACATTGGTTAATAAAATTATATAGGTTTCAGGTGTACAATTCTATAACACATCATCTGTATACTATATTGTGTCCAACATCCCATATCAAGTCTCCTTCCTTCACCATTTATCTCCCCTTTACCCTTTTCTACCTCCCCCAACCTCCTTTCCCTCTGGTAATCACCATACTGTTGTCTGTGTCTATGAGATGCTCTTTCTTTCCTTTCCTTTTCTTTTCTTTTTGTGCTTAAACCCCTTATCTTTTCCTTTTTTTAACTTTTTCCCCCCAGTCTTTTTTCTAAGATATAGGTCAACTACCACTTTATTTTGAAATAACATGCTTTGTTTTCTAAAGTATACACCACCCAAGTTTATATCATAGTAAAAGTTAAAATAGCACATAAAACTACATGTGACCACCAATACTAATGCAGTATTATTTGACATTCTGAGCATTCACTATAAGCAACTAATTTACTGAATTATAATTTTTTGTTGATATTTCAATTCCCCATAAACTAAAAATCTCATCTGCTCCTGAGAAACTATATCACAGGTTTGCATCTGAGAGGTTATCTCTAGAGATTCATGGAGATTATAGGGAGCTCCAAAATAAGAGTTAGAGGAATAAAAACCGGGAAAATTTCCCAATATTTCATTAAGTAGATTGACAATGCAGTTTAAACACTTTGTCTGAAATACAATGCCAAAGATCAGATTTACCTGTATTTAACTAAAAAAATCAAAACCATTCTAGAATAAAAAATATTTCTGATTTTTTACACCCCTGGCCCTCTCAATTAACTGCAATAATTTAGAGCAGGGGTGGAGAATCTCTTTTCTGCCAAGGACCCTTTGTATATTTATAACCTAATTCAAGGGCCATACAGAATTAGGCTGCTGTATTTGGTCAAACTCACCCCTAATTCCTTGGGAGGGCCAGACCAAATTATGTCTTGGGTCTTATATGGCCCGTGGCCAGACGTGCCCATCCCTGATTTAGACCATCAAAAAATTCTAGATACTTAAGTAAAAGATAAAATTACAGACCACTAAATTAGGCCACTTTTGCATGGTCAATAGAATAATGACTTATAATATTTAGCATATAAAATTTATTATTAGGTATGTGGGGGTTTTTTCCTGAAAAAACAGACAAACTAAATACCCACTATTTTAAAATTTTAGAAAAGAAAGAAAAAGTCATAAATTCCACTTACCTGGTCATGGTAGCTGGTACCAGAACTACTATTTGCTCGACAAGATGTTTGTATTTGTGGAGGTCTTTCCACAGGACATGTAGGATCACTATAGGAGGGAGAAACTGGGACAGCTGGGTGGGGAGTATGATGGTGGTGGTGGTGATGTTGAAAATGGTGGCCATGCTGCTGAAAGCAACTTGTGTGTGGATGTCCTAATGCATGGTGATTCTGTGACGACCCTCCACATGGCGAGTGCTGGGGACAGCAGGAAGGTAACCTTGGCATTGCAGGAGGGCCATTTTCCGTTACAGCACTAGATGCAGCTCTCCTCAAGTCATCTTGTAACCGAAAAAAAAAGAAAAAAAAAAAACATAGAAAAATCAAATGATCAAATATCACTGTGTAATAAACAGATACTGTGTATAAATAAGTAAATAATTAAGAAATATTTAGTAAGTTCAAATCTGTAAAAAAAGGATATGATAGTGCCACAGTTTTAACAGATATATAACTTCTGTAAAAGAAATTAAGTTATAACATACATATTAACATACAGCCTCTCCTCAAATTACATATTATGTGGAATCAATATAAAACATAAATATGGAGATAAATTTTTTTACTTAAAATGTATAAATCAAAAGAGTGAAGAATGGAGTTGTCTCTTCCTATCGCATCACCCACATAACCCCTGAGGCATCTCCTCAGAACCATTAGGATTCTGGAGTACCATTGTTCTAGCCTTATTAGAATAACTGATACCAGAATATTCTCCTCCCATTTGGCTCATAGTACATAGCTGATCTCTTCTGGGTCAGTGTACCAATTAAGAGTCTTCTGGCCGGGACCGGTTTGGCTCAATGGATAGAGCGTCGGCTTGAGGACTGAAAGGTCCCAGGTTCGATTCCGGTCAAGGGCATGTACCTTGGTTGCGGCACGTCCCCAGTGGGGGGTGTGCAGGAGGCAGCTGATCCATGACTCTCTCTCATCAATGTTTCTGGTTCTCTATCTCTCTCCCTTCTTCTCTGTACAAAAATCAATAAAATATATTAAAAAAAAAAAAAAAAAAAAAAGTCTTCTGGTTACTAACAAATAGTACAAAAATACAACAAAAACTGGCGGAAACAAGTAAGGGAATTTTTGAGCTCTCATAAATGAATCCAGGAGGATGGTGATGGTACTTTAATCTCTAGTTGATAGGTTTGACTGCTGCAAACCGCAAACCTCTCTGTAATTCTCCTGGGTCTGCCCTCCCATCCATGTCCTACCCTGCCTTCACTGGTTCCCTTCTGGATCTAACCCCTGTTCTGTAGTATCTGTGCACTGTTTTCTTTCCAAGCTCCTAGTCTGGCCAATTTGGGCAAATTTCCTGAATCCTTTTGTAAAGGTTCTTAAGCTGGAGACTAGATTATATCTAGTGAGTTTGAGTAAGGCCGTGTGCATGCCCTTTAAGAGGAACACCTGTCTTCAGCAACTCTCCCATCATACTTTGCCACTATCCCTGCCGGTTTTCACAGCTACAAGTTTAGGGACTTCTCTTCCCAAGACTGGAAGCCTGGGCTGAAAGGCCTTGGTAGGAGCCCTTCACTCTTAAGAAGGACCTCTAGCCCTAGCTGATTTGGCTCAGAGGATAGAGCGTCGGCCTGGGGACTCAGAAGTCCCAGATTCGGTTTTAGTCAGGGCATGTACCTTGATTGCAGGCACATACCCAGTGGGGAGTGTGCAGGAGGCAGCTGATCGAGGTTTCTCTCTCATCATGTTTCTAACTCTCTATCCCTCTCCCTTTCTCTCGGTAAAAAATCAATAAAATTTTTTTTGAAAAAAGGTACTTTTAAAGCTGACATATCCCTCTCAATTTTTAACCATCACTTGTGAATATGGGACTAGCTCATTCCATGTCTCTGTCCTACTACCAGTCTTGATATGGCTATCTCTCTAGGTCCTTAGTTATAGGACTTATGTTCAGCTAGCTTTCAGACAGTTCTGCATGGTGGTTGTTCTGTAGTTTAGATGTCATTTTAATGTGGTTGTGGAAAGATATAAGTACCACATTTATCTACTCCACCATCTTGACCGGAAGTTATTTTTAACTTTTTGAGGAATTACCAGTGTTTTCACAATGGCAGTGCCATTTTACATTCCCACCAGATTATTCATAAAGGTTCCAATTTCTCCACATTCTACTCTACACTAGTTATGTACGATTTATTATTGTTGTTGTTTTAAGTAAAACATCATATTGGGTGTAAAGTGGTAATTCACTGTGATTTTTATTAGTATTTCTCTACTAGCTAATGGTGTTTTCATGTAGTTCTTGGTCATTTATATGTCTTCTATGGAAAAATATCTATACAAATCCTTTACCTAATTATTTATGATTCTATTTTTTTTTCTTGATTCATAGAGAAAGGAAGAGAAACCTCAATGATGAGAATCATTCATTGGCTGCCTCCTGCACGCCTTCTACTGGGGATAGAGCCTCCAACCCGGGCATGTGCCACTGACCAGAATGGAACCCAGGGCCCGTTAGTTCTCAGGCTGATGCCCTATCCACTAAACCAAAAAGCTAGCGCATCCTTCAACCAATTTTAAACAGAGTTGTTTTCCTTTTTATTGGTGAGTTGTGTGAGTTCTTTATATATTCTGTATATTAGATCCTTATCAAATGTAGAATTTTCAATTTTTTTTCTCCCATCTGTAAGTTTTCTTTTCACTTTCTTGATGTCCTTTGATATATACAAATTTTCAATTTTGATGAAGTTTAACTTACCTATTTTTTCTTTTGTTGCTCACATTTTTGGTGTCAGACATTTAATTCTTTTCCAATTTCTCTCAGTTAAGCTATGATACTTTGCCAACATATAGCACCCAAACTCAAATAAGAAATCCTATTGAGACTACTTAGTTCACATATGATATTGACTCTAAGACTATGTTCTTGTGAATACAGCTAAAATTTGAAAATAATCATTTTTTTAACAAATGTAATAAAAATAAGAGTCCCTCCTCCCCCTGATTTTTACATACCTCCTATAGAAGTACCAGTCATACTATTGCTTGTAAGAGTAGTTGAAGTCTCTGACACTGTGGAGGATTGGCTACTAGTGACAGCTGAAGCAGTATCAGAGGCCTGCTCAGAGGTAGATGGATTAGAATTACTAGTGGAAGCGCTTGTGGTTTGTGATTCCATTCTTGCAGAAGTGGTTGGTACTACAGTAGGTTCTATAAAATGCAAAATGTTTAGTCAGCATTTCAATACAAATTAGGTAATGGGTTATACTGTAATCCAAGCTAATATTGTTATAATAAATGTTAAAGCAAACTTTAATGATATGAACTCTATAGGAAGTACAATATATAGTAAAAAAAAGCTTTCATGAAGTTAAACTGTTAACATTAAAATGTAACATTTTAAAAACTGCATTTTTAAAAATCCAACAAATGCATATTCTAATAATTCAGATGATTAAGTTTTTTTAAAATAATGATTATATAAGTTTTCTGATCTATCAAAAAAAAGATAATAAAAGTAAAAGTCTCTCTGCTATATTCATACATAATTATTATAAGCTGTCAGAAGGTGTTATAAAGAGTACTTTCCCCTTCACATACAGAAATAGATTCTTGGAAAGTAAGTCTGATTTCACCACTGATAGTATGATCCTTGGTAATTTACATAACCACTTTTCATTTTCTTACCTATAGAATTAGGAAAGTATTGTTCATAAAGTTCTATGAACCTTTCTTCATAGAACTATTGCTAGGATGAACTGAGATCACACATATAAAGCACTTTGTACAATGCTTTACATATACCAATAATATAATAAACATCATCTTGTATAATGTTTTACATATGGTAATCACATAATTAACATTATCTATGATGTTTAATATATTTTAATCTCTTCTTACATGTATGTTTTACAAAACCTTTTTGTAAATATTCAGCAGTACTTTAAAAAAAATTTAAATTTTGTAGTGGAATATAAAAGAAATTTCAAGCAGATTTTAACTTACAAATGATTTATATTTTAAACTGATTCTAAAATGGTTGTTTAAAAAGAGGGACTCTCTTAATGTGATGTAGAATGAGAAGACAACTATTTTATATAATGCAGTATGGAATGCAGACTCTTGAAACACAAATAGTACCTGCTTGGTCTATATAGAACAAATAAACCAAGTTGCTTAAACAAATGCATTTGCTTGTAACTAAAAAGTGAAGGGAGGAACCTATGTTTATTTGCAAATGCTTTTTAACAGCTTCTCAAGCTTGGCAGTACTGACATTTTGAGCTGGACAATTCTTTGTTGGGTGTGGGAGTGGGGACTGAGGGTGGCTGTCCTGTACAGTATGTTTAGCAGCAACTCTGGCCTCTACTCATTACATGTCATTAGCACTCTCCTCACAACTTTGAGAACCAAAAACGTCTGCAGATATTGACAAATATCTCTAGGGACACAAAATGACAGCCAGTTAAAATTCACTGGTCTAATTGATATATTATAGTTAAGTTTTTGGTTTATTTTTAATAAGAGAGAAACTTTCCACTGAAAGAAATTATTTGGGAGAAGAGGGCATCTACTGATCATTAAAATACTATTAATGTAGTTGAAATAGTCTGGTTAGACTAATTCTAATGGGTTAAAAGGCTACTCTGTCACCTTTTCCTACTTACTGGATAATAGGTGTCACATAATACTAAACACACAGAAAGTTTCAAACTAGTCATTCTATATTTAACTAACTCCAATTGACCTTTAATTAATCCCTATTATATTAACTCTGACTTACAGGTAACTTATAATGCTTTAAAATAAAAACCAAGGCACTGTTAAATGAATGCAGGCTATGGAAATAAATTATCTCTTAATAAGCATCTTAATTCCAAAGTACTAGTAATCTGTAAACTATGATCATCCAAACTGCAAACAGCCTATCTAAAGAACTGTCTGATTGCCCAAGGCCTCTATTTCTACCTATTTAATGTATCTTTTCTCCAATTTATAGCTAACTCCCAAAGTTAACAAGTTTATATACGGTTGACTACCTCACTAAGAAAATTATGACTGACCACTTCCTTGTAAGATGAAACTAATAACATCTGAAGATAATTCTCAACATGTAGGAAAATTCATATATGTAGTCATATATTCAAACATGCTACCACCTTCTCTAATCCCTGTTTAGCAACTCTAGCTTTGCTTTCTCAGAGCAGTTATAAACCAAAACAAAACACTAAAATAAGGAGCACAAAAGGCACATACTTATTAAAGAATCACATACTTTAAAAAGTAAATGATATTATAAATAACCAGTATTAAACCATTTGAATTCAGTTATAGTGCTTTACTGTTGTCCATAATTAAAAAGTATCATTTCTGCCCTTGTCAGCCAAAGTGGCTAGGATGAATGTCATTCCATACACTGAAAGTTGCAGGTTTGATTCCTGATCAGGGCACATACCTAGGTTTCGAATTCACATTCCCAGTCCCAATTGAAGCTTCTCAATCATATCTATGATTCTCTCTCTCCACCCCTCCCTCCTTCCTTCTCTCCCTCCCTCCCTCTCTCCCTCCCTCCCTCTCTCTGCCAATTGAAGCTTCTCAATGACATCTACCTCCCTCTTCCTATCACTTGTAAACCAAAATTTCTTTTCTAAGAAAATAACTACCACCGAAGCCGGTTTGGCTCAGAGGTAGAGCGTCGGTCTGCAGACTAAAAGATCCCAGGTTTGACTCCAGTCAAGGGCATGTATGTTGGTTGCAGGCACATCCCCAATAGGGGGTGTGCAAGAGGCAGCTGGTCGATGTTTCTCTCTCATTGAAGTTTCTAGCTCTCTATCTATCTCCCTTTCTCTCTGTTAAAAATCAATAAAATATATTTAAAAGAAGAAAAGAAAAGAACTACACCAAGCATAAAACAATAACCAGAAAAAAATTTTAGGCAAGCCGAAACTGGTTTGGCTCAGTGGATAGAGCGTCAGCTTGGGGACTGAAGGGTCCTGGGTTCGATTCCGGTCAAGGGCATGTACCTTGGTTGCGGGCACATCCCCAGTAGTGGGTGTGCAAGAGACAGCTGACCGATGACTCTCTCTCATCGATGTTTGTAACTCGCTATCTCTCTCCCTTCCTCTCTGTACAAAATCAATAAAATACATATTTTTTAAAAATTTTTAGGCAAAATTACTATATTATAACCAAGGTTATTACTGCAAATTGAAAAATAAGATTTAAAAATCTGAAAACTTCTCTTTAATAGCACAGTAAGATATTTCATTTTATCATATTTTCTTCATAATTCTACACTGTTACTACTCCACCTTACCATCTTCATCAACAGTAAGGTCCACAACTTCTGCTGCATTCTGCCGCAAGGGCTGTATCACAGTAGAAATCCTACTGCGGTTCCGTGGCTCCTGTGGTCGGCTTGTATGAGAACTTGAACCTTGGCTCCAATGAGATCTGGAGTGTCCAAGGGTTGAACGAGACCTTAAATGATATCAATATTTAAATTAGTAAACATAAAAAAAACACACAAAACTTTAGTTACCAAGAAATAATAAGCCTTTCTTTACAGAATAAGTTGGGAAATACTTCATGTAAGACTTTTCCAAAGAAATAATGGTCACAGAATGCACAGTTATGACTAGCATAATGTCTGTCTGGCACTCAATAAATATTTCTGAATGAAATATTCATCAACCAACTGACCTAAGAATATGAGAAAATTATATGTTATCACTTTACACCAATCACGGGTATAAAATATAGGATATAGTTTCAGGAATAATGCTCTTTTCAATAGTTAGTGCGAATATTACCCAGGTTACAATCAATTATTTACATTTTATATAAATACCTAAATTTACTCACAATAGGTAAAGTAACAAAAATATCAATACCAGAACAGTTGGGGAGTCCTAAACCAAGCTACCAGTAAGTTTCTGGTACTGATCTAAAGAAATTCAAGACACTAGAGAAATTTCCTGGGGTCAGAAAGGGTAAGGATAGTTGCAGCCAGTTTACTACAGATGGTCCTTGACTTAATGGTTTGATTTAAGATTTTTCGACTTTGCAATGGTTTGAAAGCAAGATGCATTCAGTAGAAACTATACTACAAACACTGAATTTTTATCTTTTCCTAGGCTAGCAATATGTGGTATGATACTCTATTTTTTTATTTTTATTTTTTTATTTATTTTTTAATATATTTTATTGATTTTTGTACAGAGTGGAAGGGAGAGAGACAGAGAGTTCGAAATATCAATGAGAGAGTATCATCAATCAGCTGCCTCTTGCACACCCCCCACTGGGGATATGCCCACAACCAAGGTACATGCTCTTGACCGGAATCGAACCTGGGACCTTTCAGTCCGAAGGCCAATGCTCTATCCACTGAGCCAAACCGGTCCCGATACTCTATTTTTTAAAAATATAGTTTATTGGTTTTTTACAGAGAGGGAGAGGGATAGAGAGTTAGAAACAATGATGAGAATTATTGATCAGCCGCCTCTTGCACACTTCCTACTAGGGATGTGCCGGCAACTGAGGTACATGCCCTTGACCGGAATCGAACCTGGGACCTTTCAATCCGCAGGCCAATGCTCTATCCACTGAGCCAAACCGGCTTCAGCTGATACTCTCTTTTGATGCTGGGCAATGGCAGCAAGCCGTAGCTCCCAATTAGCCACCTGACTATGAGGATAAACAATGGATATGCTACAGTGTATTCAGCGTATATTCATTGATGATTTTGCCTAAGTTTAGGCAATGTGTTCTAAGTACATTTAAGGTAAGCCAGGCTAACTTATGATGCTTAGTAGGTTAGTTCCATTAAATGCACTTTTTTATTTCTTGATTGGTTTTGAGATAGAATTGGTATTTAATATTATTTAAATGCATTTTCAATTTACGGTATTTTCAACATTCAATGGGTTTTTTGGGATGCGTTTCCCCACTGTAACTGGAGGAAGATCTGCAATCTGTAGCCTTAAGAAACATCACTTGTTTCAACTGTGTTGTGCTTCTAAAGTATATAATCCACAACCCCTCAACACCTAACTTAAAATATTTTAACCATATGTACGGTGTTCTGTATGTGTACCTAAATTTCTTACCTGTGGTACATTTCATTAAAAATATTTTTAAGGATTCACTGTAATGATCTGAATGACTGAGGATACAGAGGGATAAAACAGTACATGTTTTAGGAAGATGGGGCTTATGCAGTCGGTGTTTTCTTCTGCCCAAGCTGGATGTAAAACTGCTTATATGCTTATTGTTACTATGCATGCATAGAGTGAGCCAAATTCATTAATATTCAGTTCGTCAGAGTGCAAACTCAACTATTCAGAAAAGAATTCAAGAGTTTAGAAAAAGTTCAAATGAAGTAACGAGAGTATAAAGACTAATTCCTGAGACAGTAAAAAAAGGACAGCACAACCCTAGCCAATTTAGCTCAGTGGTTATAGAGAACCAGTCTGCAGATTGAAGGATCCCAGGTTCAATTCCAGTCAAGAGCACATACCTCAATTGCAAGCTCTGGAACCCTGGCCCTGGTTGGGGCTTGTGTAGGAGGCAACCAATCAATATGTCTCTTTCATAATGATGTTTCTCTCACTCTCTCTCTCTCTCCCTTCCACTCTAAAAATCAATGGGAAAATATCCTCGAACAAGGATTAACAAAAAGAAGCCCAGCTAGCGTGACTCAATGGTTGAATGCTATCCTATAAATCAGAAGATCAAGGTTCAAATCCCAAGAGCGTCAGCTTGCGGACTGAAAGGTCCCGGGTTCGATTCCGGTCAAGGGCATGTACCTTGGTTGCGGGCACATCCCCAGTAGGGGGTGTGCAAGAGGCAGCTGGTCGATGACTCTCTCTCATCGATGTTTCTAACTCTCTATCCCTCTCTCTTCCTCTCTGTGAAAAATCAATAAAATACATTTTTTTTTTTTTTTAAAAAGGTTCAAATCCCACATGCCCTGGTTATGGGCTTGATCTCTAGTGCAGGGTGTGCAGGAGGCAGCAACTGAATGATTCTCACTCACCATTGATGTTTCCATCTCTCCCCATCTCCCTTCCTCTCTGAAACCAATAAAAGTAAAAATAAAATTGAATAAATAAATAGGAAAGCACATTCCAAGAACTATATGGACTGAAACATGACAGTAAACAACTGTCTCGGGATGAAATGGTTTGGGATGAGGAGAGATTACCTTTCAAAACTCTTAAGAAACCAAGATTCTAATGAGACTGTGTAGTTTATTTCTGGGAAGCTGTTAACAGCTGTAGAAAGTGCCAGGTCCACTTTGCAATACTCTTGTGAAAGCTACATAGGATGCCTTAACTCAAATATTATGCTGAGGGGAGCATCAACAAAAAAGTTGATATATGGACAGTTGGTGCATATGGCAACTATTACATCCTGACACAAAAGAATCTGAAATACAGATGCATTATCTTAAAGAGAAAAAGCCAAGAGCTAGCTAAACAGTGACAAACTTAATACCTTATATAACAACTAGAGCCCTGGTGTACAAAATTTGTGAATGAGGAGAGAGTGTTCTTCAGCCCAGCCTGTACCCTTTTGAATCTGGGACCCCTAGAGCGATGTCTTACTGCTTGTTTAGGCCCGATCCCAGTAGGATTCCTGGCTAGGGCACATGCCCGGGTTGTGGGCTCAATCCCCGTCAGGGGCATGAAAAAGGCAGCCAAGTGATAATGTTTCTCTCTCATCAATATTCTTTCTCTCTATCCTTCTCCCTTCTTCTCTCTCTAAAAAATAAATTTAAAAATATTTTTAAAAAAGGAAAGCACTAATCTGGTATATACATACTCAAACTAGGTCTCTAAAAAAATGGTAAAAGATGCAAATATCTGCAGTATAAATGTTTAAATACTTCTACTTAAAATTTCAAATATACAAACTAGCAATTAAACTCTTACCGATAGCTTTCTCCAACTGTTACAATCTCCACTTCACTATCAGTTGAGGTAACATTAATTTCTTCATTGGCAGCGACTTGGGGAGTAGAGGAAGCTTCTATCACCACAACATCTTCATCAATACTTCCTGGAAACAAAACGAAAAAAAAAAAAAAAAAAACATTTGAAGGGCATCTGCCATCTTGCTAATTGAGGTACAAAAACTTTTATTTTGACTTTGACTATAAAATTCATTACAAAAATAAAAATATTATCTGTCAAAATGAAAGCTAATGAAAGCTATGAGTGTTTAGCTCATAAAACAGTAATACCTATTCTCTTGATCTGTATGTCTTCACATTTATTTCCTCTTTTATAACTTCTGTTTGTTCTCTATAAAATTTTAGTGGTCTCCATATGAATTTGTATATTATATAGAGATAGCAACACTGTTATATCTAAAGAATTGATTTTAAGTTTTTATTAAAAGTATTCACATTTTATGATATTTATCCTTTACTCCCTAAAATAAAAATACAGCCAAAACCGGTTTGGCTCAGTGGTAGAGGGTCAGTCTGCAGACTGAAAGGTTCCAGGTTCGATTCCGGTCAAGGGCATGTACATTGGTTGCGGGCACATCCCCGGTAGGGGGTGTGCAAGAGGCAGCTGGTCGATGTTTCTCTCTCATCGACGTTTCTAGCTCTCTATCTCTCTCCTTTCCGCTCTGTAAAAAATCAATAAAATATATTTTAAAATAAAAATACATTTGCTACATATTTTCTACAAGGTGGTAATTTTCTGTAATATAGCATTCTTTTAAGAAACACACTTATTAGTTTTTGAGTTTTATATGCTATAAAATGTATCGTTTTTGTACTTGTTTTTTTCCCTAAATTATTCTGTTTGGAAAGTGCTTCCTTATTTGGAGGATGGATATATATTATATTTGGTTCAAGGTATTTCCTTAATTATTTCATGTAGAACTAATTTTTGTTTATAGTATTAGATAAGATTATAAATACAACTGGCGCTGACCCTCCCTGCCATTACCAAACCATTTCTTTCTTTTTTTTTTTTTTAATCTTTTTTTTTTTTAATATATTTTATTGGTTTTTTACTGAGAGGAAGAGAGAGGGATAGAGAGTTAGAAACATTGATGAGAGAGAAACATCAACCAGCTGCCTCCAGCACACCCCCTACTGTGGATCGAGCCCGCAACAATGTGCCCTTTACTGGAATTGAACCTGGGACCCTTCAGTCAGAAGGCCAATGCTCTATCCATTGAGCCAAACCGGCTAGGATCATGGATCATTCCATGATCCATAACTTTTGTGTCTTACATGACTGTAAAAGGTCTAAACTCATCTTTCTTGCATATGAATGTACAACTGTCCCAACACCGTTAGTTGAAAAAGACTAGAATAATTCTATTTTGATACCTGGTAGATTCAGGTTTTCCTAATTATTATACACAATTAGAAAATCAAGGAGAAAAGAAAAAATTCTGATGTTTGGACTAGAGTAGCATTAAGAAACAATAATGAAGTCCCGACATGTCTAACATTCATTCCTTCATTCATTTATTCATTTATATAAACATATAGGTATATATGCTATCTAAATATACAGTATATATATATTTATTTTTCTCATCCTAGAATATTTCTTGTCATCTACTAAAGTCTTCTTTTATAAATCTCTAGAAAACCAGTAGGGTTTGGTTTGATTTTAAAGATAACTCTTTATAAAGCTAAATAATTTCATTTGGAGTTCAAATATACTATTAAGATTATTCATATACTTTATTCTCCTTGCTGCTTTTGTAAACGAGCTCTGTTTTTCATATTTTCTACTAGTATGTAATCCATTGATATTTTATATTCATTTTTATTCAACTCATTGGACTCTTGCTTACCACAATGACAAAAAATGGTTCAACACTCTTGTCACTGAAATTTATGCAGTCTACATTCCTTCACCAAAGGTCCTATTCCTTGGCAACCTGGAATTTCATCTGTAATACATCTCTACATCACTAGACATCTGTACTACTTCAAAAGCTGGCCAGTATGTGGAGGAGATACAAGTAAGTGCATGACAAGGTTCTACAACATATTCTCTGGTACTCCAAAGAGTAGACCAAAACAGGCATGATAAATCATAGAGTTAATGAAAGATGTTCTGATTTAGAGAAAGTTAATTTTGAATATTTCATAATATATTTACAAATATCATATTTGAAATATTTACAAATCACTATCAATTAAATAGGATAATTAAGATTTAATAATTATGAGATATGCACATTTTTGAAGTAGTTTCGAAGTTCTAAAGGTTATACACATAGACATACTGAAACATACTAGTATTGAGGTAGGATATATTTTAATAGCATAAATATATCATATAAGCAGAGAAAACAGAATAGCAGCACTCAGTGGCTATTTAAAATAATATTCTAGATTGAATTTCCAAATTACCTTCTCAATTCTTGCTTCATAATCATGTACATGATGCAGTTTAAGGTAGGAGTACAAAGAAAATCATATATTTATAAATAAAACACTATTAATTTTTTTTAAACTTCCCTTATTTTAACTCACCAAAGGAGATTACCATTCTATAATGGAAAAAAATCTACATCTATATATCAGCTCTATTAGTGATTTTTCTGCATGTGTGCACATGAAGTTTCTTTAAAAGCCTATAAAAAAATAGCCTAACATTATTAAACACCATTTACATAGTTAAGCAAAGTCAACTACAAATGTAATGTTTTGAAGTTCCAATGATAAATGATACAAAGCTAGCTAATGCATTAAAACTTAGTTTATATAATTTTTTATGAACAGAGAGATTGTGTAACTAAAGATTATATAAGTAACTCACTTAACGCACTTTTTGTTCTATTGCTTAAATAATTATTTTTTCTAAAACTGATATTTATAAGCATAACTTCAGGAGATAAATTTCTACCATGCTCTCTCCAGTTCGGCTCAGTAGAAAGAGTGTCAGCCTGCAGCCTGAAAGGTCGTGGGTTCGATTTTGGCCAAGAAATGTACCTCAGTTGCAGGCTCAAACCCCAGCCCTGTCCCGGGTATGTGCAAAACAACCACTAAATGTGTCTCTCTCATATCCATGTAGATTCTCTCTTTCTCTTTCTCTTTCTTTCCCTCTTTTCTTTCTCTTTCTCTTTCTTTCCCTTCTACTCTAAAAATAAATGGAAAAATATCCTCAGGTGAGGATTAATAAAAAAAAAAACTAACTTTACTTCTGGGTAATAAAACTGGGATCTAAGAAAAAGAGGTAAAGTTTTCTCGTTTTATCATTTCTTGGTACTTTAAAAATTCTACACCATTTGAATGTTATTAAATAATTTTTTAAAATATATTTTATTGATTTTTTTTTTTTTTTTTTCCAGAAAGAAGGAGAGAGGGATAGAGAGCTAGAAACGTCGATGAGAGAGAAACATCGACCAGCTGCCTCTAGCACATCCCCTATTGGAGATGTGCCCGCAACCAATGTATACGCCCTTGACCGGAATCAAACCTGGGACCTTTCAGTCTGCAGACCGACGCTCTACCACTGATCTAAACCGGTTTCGACTGAATGTTATTAAATAATTACTATTTTTTTTAAATACAAAACACTGATCTAGAAACCAGAAAATATCAGGAGCCCTTGGTTTCAACTTCTGGATTTAGATTTCCAGAGACAAGCATTTAAGGATAATGTCTGAAAATAATCTAATTCTTCCAAGAAAGTAAAACACCACATGCTATAAGTATTAAACAGAATTTAAAAATAAATAACAAAATTTTCATTTATCTTGAATACCTGAGAATATATGAACTACTTTCTTCCTAGTAACAGACAATGATACTGACCTAGATTTACTCTCCTCTCATGTCTCCAATAAACTTCAGCTCCTTGGAACTTCTACACCACATCACCAATCACCCTGCCTCACTAATTTCAAGTAGAAACTGGGCTCTGCTGCTCCCTCTCCCCGCACTTCACATTCTACCCAAATGAGAAAAATGTGAAATGTGACAATTAAGCAAGACAATTCCCATTCTCATTTCCCTCTTTCTTAATGGTTGCTGTAACCCTTTCCCAGCTGCAGCGTGATCTCAATAAACTCTTTTTAAAACAAGTATATGAGTAGGTTTAAAAAAGAACTGAACATGGCTAAGAGTAAAATTAAAAACACAATTACTGGTCAGGGTATGAAAAGGAAGTCTTTGAAAAGGAAGTAACCAATGAACGAGAAAAAGAGGGAGTAATGGCATATTTGCTAAGTATTAAAACAGGCTCTACCTTTAAAAAGCAGGACATCAGGCAAAGACTGAGAAAACTTTGTGCCAGTATTAAAAACCATAACCTGTGCTCTCCCTCTTGTGAGCACACATCAAATTTCCCTTTATTTCCCCCCAGGTGCAATACCTTTGCCTTTCTCCTGAACTCCAAGGACCCTACTTTTGCCTCTTTAACTTGTTTCCTGAGCCTGCACAAGCCCAGCTGGCTCACTTCTACTAGTTCTGTAACTTTCTAAAACCACTTTCTCTTATAATTTGAAAATACAAACAAACAAAACCCATAATCTTAGCCCGTTAAAAAGCTCTCCTTACCCCTTTTCTTATACGTTCACAAGAAATTAACCTTTTTCTTCAGCTCCGACTTTACTCCTAAAAATGTTTTCATCAACTTCTTTTAAATTACAACAAATGGTAAAAATGATATACATGGAGCACATACTTCAGAGACTGTACATAAACTTATTCTAGTTAAATATAACATTACTGAGGGGAGGGAAAGAGCCCATGTGAGCTAATCTCTAAATTCCATTTTAACTGATTGGTCATATGCTCTACTGAGCATTGTCAGGATTAATGTTTGTGTTCCAATATTAGAATAAAAGTTACCTCTCAAATACTTGAAATTATTTTTCAGTTATAAAGAACATGACAAGTTAATAGTAACCAATAAGAATAGAATACTTAAAAGAAAAATAACTTTTTAAAAAATATATATTTTATTGATTTTTTTACAGAGAGGAAGGGAGACAGACAGAGAGCTAGAGACGTCGATGAGAGAGAAACATCAACCAGCTGCCTCTTGCACAACCCCTACTGGGGATGCGCCCACAATCAATGTACCTGCCCTTGACCGGAATCGAACCTGGGACCTTTGAGTCCGCAGACCGACGCTCTACCACTGAGCCAAACCGGTTTCGGCTAACTTGTCTTTTTTAGTGACTAGAATTGCTTTGACTGTGGTTAAATGTGAAAGGAATCCATCACACAGCTATCTGAAAAAGTATTCACAAAATATAAATATACTAATCCTGGCCAGTGTGCCTCAGTTGGTTGGAGGGTTGACCTGTACACTGAAAAATCAAGGGTTTGGTTCCTGGTCGGGGACATACTCAGGTCTCATGTTCAATCTCTGGTCAAGGTGCATATGAGAAATTCGTATGGGATGCAACTGAGAGGTGTTTCTCTCTCACACTACGCTTCTCTCTCTCCCCCACTCCCTCTCTACCTTCCTCTCTAAAATCAATTTTTTAAAATATATTTTATTGATTTTCCACAGAGAGAGAGAGAGAGAGACAGAGAACTAGAAACATCAATGAGAGAGAATCATCGATCAGCTGCCTCTTGCACACCCCCGACTGGGGATGTGCCCGCAACCAAGGCACATGCCCCTGACTGGAATTGAACCCGGGACCCTCCAGTCCGCAGGCCGACGCTCTATCCACTGAGCCAAACTGGTTTCGGCTAAAATCAATTTTTTTAAAATCATACTTTGTGCGTAGAATTGGAGTCATGGTTTAATACTATAATTGATAATTTACTTATATGGCTTAAAAATAAAAGTTAGCCGAGACCGGTTTGGCTCAGTGGGTAGAGCGTCGGCTTGGGGACTGAAAGGTCCCGGGTTCGATTCCGGTCAAGGGCATGTACCTTAGTTGCGGGCACATCCCCGGTAGGGGGTGTGCAAGAGGCAGCTGATCGATGATTCTCTCTCATCGATGTTTCTGACTATCTCTCTCTTCCTCTCTGTATAAAATCAATAAAATATTTAAAAAAAAAAAAAAAAAAAAAAAAAAAAATAAAAGTTAACAGAGCCTCCTACTCCATTTAAATACAATAAAAATCACTAAAATATAGAAGGAAATAAGCACAAATACAATATAATAGCTTCCATGTTTACGTAAGCAACATTTTTACCTGAGGGGACAGCTGCATTGTTTTGGTGGTTTTCACTGGTAGAAACAAACAAATCATCTCCTTCAGTTGATGAGCTTGAAGAGGATTCACTGCTGAGGTCATTTTCACTGGAACTACTGGAACTAGGGAGCAATGCATACTTTCTTCGGGCTAACACTTCTCGTTTTTTCCTCTGCATCAATATCCTCTCTTTTTGTTTCTGTGTCCTCTGTGAGTTGTTTTTTACAAATCTCTTTCTGCATGGAAGTCTCCTTAACGAACTGCTATGAAAACAGGGTCTTTTCATTAACAATCCTGAAACAGACTCTGTCTCAGTGGGAGGCCACTTTTGGGAACGTGCACTATGAGTTCTACTTTTAGCATTCAAAATTGACTGGGAATGTCTTACAGAGAGTCCTTTATCCTCATCTGAAGTCACAGTATCAGAATCTCCAAAATGCAGACTAGATGAAGGGGAAGAAAGACAATCACTAAAAGAGGAATCATTGTCTTTATCACTTGGTGCTTCTAGGTGTTGCCTCAATCCTAATACTCCCTGGTTTTCTTTAACACAATTTTGCATGTATGAAGGGCCAGCCTGCTGGCTTTTGCGTTTTTTCCTCACAACACTTTTTTCTTGCTCTTGTTGGTTACCATTCATGTCCTTTTCTTGTTTTTGAGAATCATCACACAAATGAGAGAATTCATTCCCCACTTTACTATTAATCATCTCAACTCCCACAGGAAAACTTTTGGCTGTCCCAATGGGCTCTGGATGCAAGAGGATCCCTTTCAGACTCTCCTGTGTCTTTGGTGCATCAGAAGGAATCTCACTCTTCATATCCACTTCTAAGGTATAGAGCTTGCTATATTCAGGAGTCCATTGAGACATGGGAAACGATAAGGAAGGCCTAGAAGACAAAATTAGATATTAAAAAGATTGTTAATGTGTTATACTATTTAATTAAAAGAGTACTCAGATTCCACTGAAAACAGCCCTGTAACAGGGCAGGATTGCCTTTTCCTCATCAAAATGTAAACAGTTGTAATACGTCATTTTACTATTCTTATAAAACATTTTCCTCTGTTACCTCTATCCATATACCCAATTTTTAGAAATAAAAATCACCGAACATAAGCCTACTCGACAACTTCTTTTAACTAAAAACTGATCTTACTGTATATTTTCCTACCTTTAGGAATATAACACATTTTGTTAAAATCAAACAATTTTTTCAAAACCTAATATAATAAAAATGGATTTAAAAATTAGAATTCAAAAGACTTTGACTACTCAGCAATACTTTTCTCCTGGTATCACATTTTAAAGTGATACTGATATTAAATATTTCTGAACACCTAGGTGGTTGCTATGTTAGATAGATTACTATAAATAATGAACCAGTATGGATATAGATTTTCTTTCCTATGGATGTTTCTTCCTTCATACTAGTCTATTATCTAATGACAGTCTGAACTTACTGGTAGACAGTAGGTACAACTGCATTTGAGAAACTTTTACTTACTAACAGGAAGACTCTTCGTTCCCTGAGAATGTTTTAAAATTGATTGTGGTGACCTAGCCAGTTTGGCTTCATGGTCATCCTGGGGACTGAAAAGTCACGGGTTCAAATCTAGTCAAGGGCACATGCCTGGGTTGTGGCTCGATCCCCAGTAGAATATGTAAAGGAAGCAGCTGATCAATCTCTCATCATTGATGTTCCTTTCTTTCTCTGAAATCAATACAAATATAAAATAAATAAAATTGATTGTGGTGATGGTTGTTAAACTGTGACTACTGTAAAAACCACTGAATTGTACCCTGAAAAGGGGAGAATTGTATGGTATGTGCATTATATCTCAAGAAAACAATTGCCAAAAAATCAAGAGGGCAAATATCAAGTGTTCTGGGTATCATATAACAATGAACCCTTCTTTTGAACAGCATCAAAAGAGTCATGTCATTCTGAAAGAACTGGGATTCTTCCAGAAGTCCATTACTCCCAGGAGTTGTGTTGAGTTGGATCTCTGAGAAAAGTCTTTATATGCTAAAGAAAAAAAATTGTTTTAGACTCCTCATTCTTAATTAATTACTAAGTCACCCACTGGGTCTTGGAAATAGAGATTCTGAGAGTATCTTGCCAAAAGGACAGATAAAATTCTGAGAACAGGAATCCATAAGTGAATTTTCAAAGAAGTGATTCATAGCATAATTTACTAAATTCAATTTCTTTCCCATCAGTTTGTGCCCCAAAGCCAAAATAATGAACTCTTTATGGTTAACACTGCTCTGCTTTTTGGTGAGTTTCTTTTCCCAATCCCGCTTATTTGGAGGATTGGAGAAGGAGTAAGGGAGAGAGGTGGTGTATGGTGTGGTGTGTTTGTCTATACAAGAATAACTGTTCTGAGTTATGTTACACAATCATTAAATGCAAATTAACATCCCATTTTATTTGAGCTGTTCCCACCAAGGGAATACAACTTCATGTTTTATTTTGAACTGAAAAAAAGAAAAGTTCATGAGAGAAAAAAGAAGAAAATTACCATTACTACATTTTTTAACTAAAAAGGCGGCAAAACTAACATAAAGAATCAATAAAGAACATTCTGAACTATTTGCTATATGACAAAATCATAATCTAATCTTTGATTTCTAAAAAATGTATTGGGCTGATGTAATTTACAAAGGAGGCAAGTGTATACTAGATATGTGTATCTCCTTGGCCATAGAATGACTAGTTTCTACTATACATTGGTTCAATACTGGAGGAGCCCTAATACTAGTTCCTCTTGGTACTAGTTTAAATCAACTGTTTTTTGCTATTGGTATGATGGAATCATACTAATTACTCCTGATATTAGTGTAGGATAACCACTAGTAAACCTTGCATGAAAAAAGCACAATAAGCATGCTAACTTTCAGAACTAAAAACTAGGGTTAGGATTTAAAGAATTGCATTATAAATTAAATTTATGGCCGAAACTGGTTTGGCTCAGTGGTGGAGCGTCGGTCTGCGGACTGAAAGGTCCCGGGTTCGATTCTGGTGAGGGGCATGTACATTGGTTGCGGGCACATCCCCAGTAGGGGGTGTGCAAGAGGCAGCTGGTCGATATTTCTCTCTCATCAACGTTTCTAGCTCTCTGTCTCTCTCCCTTCCTCTCTGTAAAAATCAATAAAATATAATTTAAAAAAAAAATTTATGTTAGCATTAGGTGGGTAAAATCCCACTAAGATTACCAATACAACTTTGATAAACTCACTTCTAAACTGGTTTAAAACAGTCATTATTGAACCTTCACTACCAATGATAAATATACTTAATAAAAATTTGATTATTTTTATAGAACGCTAAAGGAAAAATATTTTAAAAGAAATCCATAAACTAGCTTTGCATTTTTCTACAATAGTTTGATATTATCAGAAAATGAACTGAACATATGTCCACTGTTTATGTTTTTTTATATAATTAAGTGGAAAATAATAATATTTATACCACAGGAATCTTACTTAGGGCATATTTTAAAATTTTAATTACCTTTTACTGGTATTTATTTTACTTTGTGCCAGTTTAAGTGCCTAACAGAATACTCTCTCCTGCTACCTAAAGGCTTTATAACCAACTCTACTTATAGGTAGACAAATGGACAATATACTTTATTACATATTCCAAGGAGTCAAAATTTCATTAGCAAGAAAGATATTTCCCCCAAAAAAGCATCATTCTGGGCTCCTAACTAAATTAATAAAGTATCCAAAATAAACTAAACTTGTTAGAGTTTATTTTTCTCCTATAGGTGTAGGAGCACATACTCTAATAAAAAGGAGATAATTTGATAAAACTTATTAGCAGATAGTAATTAATTTATAGACTGATACCTGGTAAAAAGGAGGAAGTTATACTCAGAATAACCATTGTGAAACTGCCAAGTAGTAAACTCAACTTCTTTTAGGTGGCTAGATGTAAAATAAAACTGTGGAAAAAAAACTAGTCAGGACAACCTACCCTGAGTAGAAAATAAAATTCAGAAGATAGACTACTAGCTATTACCTAAAGATATATTTAAATTCTTGTTGATCAAGGAAATCAAAATGAAATAAATAATTACAGATAATTCACTGTAAGTTCTAAAAGAGGAAAGTATAGGTATGTTATCAGAGCACCAGAGAAAATAAGGCTTCAGGATTAAAATCACAGAACACTAAACGCTGCACTTACTGAACCAGGAGTTCCAACAGGTCTACAGTGCATTATCAGGGACTGTATAAGATATTGGATCAGCACACTAACATTCTAAAAGCAAAATCACAAAAGATCCTCAAGTGCTAACCCTCAGAGAATTCATAGATTGAGGAAAGAGACAAGTACATATTACAAAGCACCAAAGGAAAGATATTACAAGGACACTTAACTAAAATATCAGGGATAGTGAATGGAGGAGGTTTCAAGAAGGAATAAATAATTTGTGGGATAAATAAGAGTCAGGCAGTAGGATAATAGTACAGGTGGGGGATAGATGAAACAAAGAGGCAAGACTTTGTGAAATATCAGACAATAATAACACCTTGAAAAACTCTTAAGCTAGACAGTTGCATCATTCTATTTGCACTTTAGTTGGATCATCTGATAATACTGTGTGAAAATGAATTGAGATGCGCTAAAACAGTATGCAGACCAGTTAAGAGGTTATTGCCATATAAGATAAGAAAATATAAGAAGAGACAACAACAGACTAGTGACTGGAACAGGGAAAGCACAAAATCCAGAGATAATTAAAGACAGAATTACTAGGATTGTATTAAACAAAACCAGTTAAGATGTTATTGCCACTGAAACAGGTTTGGCTGAGTGGATGGAGCATTGGCCGGAGGACTGGAGGGCCCTGGGTTCGATTCGGTCAGGGGCATGTGCCTTGGTTGCAGGCACATCCCCAGTAGGAGGTGTGCAAGAGGCAGCTGATCGATGATTCTCTCTATCGATGTTTCTAACTCTCTATCCCTCTCCTTTCCTCTCTGTAAAAAAATCAAAATATATTAAAAAAAAAAAAAAAAAGAATAGACAACAACAGACTAGTGACTAGAACAGGGAAAGCACAAATCCAGAGATAATTAAAGACAGAATTATTAGGATTGTATTAAATTTTGGATAGGAAATACCTACAGCTACCATCCTAGTCCAAACTACCATAATCTTTTACTTACACTACTGAAACAGATCCCTAATTTTCTTATTTTTACCAACAATTCAATACTATTCAGTAACTTGAGAATACCCTAAGACTAGTACAACCAGAGAGTATAATCCTGTTACAAATTTTCCAGTAGTCTCCAAATGACTCAAAAATAAATTTGAAACTTTTTTTTTTTTAATGCTCATCTGTCTCTTAACTCTTCACCTCTTTAGTCACTAGATTACTGTCAAACTGGCCTTCATTCCATTCTTGAACATGGCAAGACTTCTCTGTTGTGCCTAGATTGCAGTTGGCTAAATAACCTCTGCTCACCACTCAGGTCTTGATTTAAATGCTACCTCTCTGGAGAGATCCCTGATTGCTCTGTGGGAATGTAGCTTATAAACTTCCAAATACAGAGAGCTTAATTGATCAAGAGCCCTATCTGCTATACTCTGAAATCCATTACATTTGCTCAAAGTCTCACTTCTCACAGACTGCACCTAGCCAAGGACTGAGGGTGGCAAAGATACTAAGTTAGACCTATACTTGGAGACACAGGACTCCTTCAATGACTGACCGGATCTAGGACTCCAATGACTGTGATGCAGATCTGACCCATAGAGAACGAGAGAAAAGAAAGTTTGGGTGAAGTCTAAGGAAGTTTCAAAGTCAATCTTCAAATGAAAAACATTGACTAGATTCTTGCTCATATACACATTT